GATTCATGGGAGGCGTAATCATGGTGGCCACTTCACTCTCTGCGAGTCAGATCCTGTGGGGGGCAGCTGAGGAGAAAGGACCAGATCCTGTGGTTCTCCAACACGCACCACACAGCCTTCAGGCTTCCTCAGTGACATCTTCTGGAGCTGCCACCCAAGGGACAGGTGGAGGGTCCTGAGTCTACATCCCTTCTCCCCCTCACCACAGCAACTCTGCTTATAACTGCTGTATGTTCTGTGCTTCCAGGGAAGATTTTAGTTTGGAAAAAAAAAAAAAAAGGTTGGAAAATATATATATTACAGACGCACACACACTCATATATATATACACTAGATAATTGCTACAGTCTATTTCAGCAACGACACCCTAGGATTTCTTTTGTGACTATGGTCAACCTTCGTATCAGATGGGTAAGTCAGGCAGAAGATGGTTTGTACAAATTCAAAGTTTTAATGGCTGTTACTTATAAAAGAAAGGATATTTGCACTGTGTACATTCTGTCCACTTCCGGTACTCTCAGCTGACCATGCCCGTTTTATTGCACATATAAACAGTGTACAAGGATCTTGAAGATGTTACGTAGCCATACATGGACTGCATTTAAAAGGGAAAAAAAAGCCATTGCACAAAATATTGACGTCATTTGTATTATACAGCCAACTTTAAGAAAAATACTGAAGATTAGTATCAAAAGAAATATTTTAATTTTGGGGGGAAAAAAATCTCTCAGAACAAGGATTACAGAGCTTCATGTTTGCCATATATACACATAAAAAAAAAATATTTCAGGACCCTGCGTTCTGAATGCCCGTCAAGGTGCGGCAATCTGAATTCCTATTTCCATATCGACCTTGGCACGTTGTTGACCTTGAATACGCTCTTTGCCCAATACGCCTTTCTCTTTTACATCATGACGCTATTTGACAGAACAGGTATTTGTGCAGTACAGGAACATATTAAAATAGATTTTACGTTAGGTTAAAGTGCACAGTACATTTGACAGGAAATAACTGCTAGCTGCCAATCCAAATGACCGTTTCCAGTAACCGCCCCCCACCTCGCCCCCCGCAGTGGGCAGCCGTGGCATTGACCGACGGGCGTCGGAGTTCAGTGCCTCCCATCCTCGCGGCGCCCACCCGGGTATCTGTCCGCCGACACTTACAGGGGCTTCTCACGGAAGTGAGGCTGCAGTCGGCCTTTGCGAGACTGAAAGACGAACGAGCGGGCTCTCTGCGTGCCAATGGCCACGCGTGGAAGCGCGTCCGTGACGCCTTACGCGAGTCCCTCAAGCCAGCACAGGTCCCTTTCCTTTGCTGGCTCTTCTCTAGCCGTGTTTTGCCTGAACTTCCTCCTCCTTAGGCTACTCCGTCTCCCAACAGCCCTTCCCGAGCCCGCTCCTAAGCCTGCGTTGGCGTAACAGGGGGCTGCCCCCCCCAGTGGGGGACTCATTCCTGTGGTTTCACACCAGAGGCCGTGACTCCTGCAGCGTTTTAGGGAAGCCGCCAACTAAATTACAATGAGACGAGCACGTCTGCCTCTCGGAATCATTTTCTCTTTTAAGACAGGCTGGCAGTTGTGAGAAGGGCTGGTCGCCTGATCCATGTCCCATGTGCCATTCTTGCTCACTCCGTCAAAGCTGTCCTTACAAAAGCTTTTTGGTCAAACAGTAGACTTTTTCTTATCTCTACTTACCTAGACCATTTCCTTATCATCTACCTTTGGTGCTAGACTTTCTTTCATTAGCCAAGTTACAGTGCAAAATTATACTTCAAGACACATGACGCTAACACTTACGAGTTCTTTGTGTTAAAACGTGAATGTTTTGTGCATAGCAAAATAAGTCTGAATCCAAAAAAATAATTGTTCACATTTCATCTTCAAGTTTAATATGCCTTTTTTTTTCTTCATCACAGCTATTTACAAATAACTTTGGGGTACTCTCTTGATTTCAGTCGGTTTGTTATGTGAGAGGACAACAGGGCTGCTGGAATGTAGGAAACTGGATGGAATGCAGAAATATAAATAAAACCATGTTCCATAAACCAAAGTGTAAATAATGCCTCCCCAGAAAACAGTTCTCGTCACAGAAGCACCTGTTTTTGGCTTAAAATTTTTTTTTTTTTTTTTGCTGAGTCACATACACCAGAATACATGATTACTGAGACCTAGAACTACTGCACACCAAAGAGGATAGAAAATAATTCAATATTTATAATATTAAAATAAAGTGTTTAACCACAAAAAAGCAGTAATAAAATAGTTTCCTAATTTACAATTTGCATCCAAAGGATGAATAACAACTCACTAATAAATAATATTTATATAAATATTTTGTATGTCGAAAATAGTTTTTTAAAAGGCAATGGTCTCAAGAAAGGTCTTAAAAAATTTGGTGGTGAGAAACCTGATTGTGTCCCCCTCCCCCCACTGAATACACAAGAAGTCTGGTTTGAGTAAAACAGATGCATCTTGCTGCAAAACGGCTGTGCTTGGTGTGTTGGTAATGGCAGTGGGTGAGCGTGGAAGGGATGAAGGAGGTCGTAAAAGGCATTGACGGGCTGCTCAGCTCTTCACCGGCAGTTCCCTCGCTGGCTTTAAGGTAAATATCTTTCCTATCTTAACAATGGAAGTCAGTTCTGGAAGGTGGACAATCTTCCTTTCTGTCCTCCCTTCAATGCAACCAGAGCCAGAGAACTGACAGGCGGTGAGCGGGAGGGCAGGAGGAGCAGGTGCTGAGAGCAGAGTCCAGGACTTCGGATGAGAGGAGAGTCTGAACCGACCCCAAGGAGAGGAGCTGGTTTCATGTGAACAGAGTCTTTGTTACCGTTACATCTAGTAACGCTTGAACGGTAATGCCCACTTTGACCAGGCCTTTCTCTTCAAGGATGTGATGGGGTAGACACAGTTTTTCCTAAAAGGAAGAAGAACACAGCGTCAATTTTTAGATGACCGAAAACATAATCATAAAATCTTAGAGGACACCAGTGACAGGAGTTCAGCTGAGCTCTGACATGTGCCTGTCTGATCACCTCAGACTGTGCTCCCTCCCTTGCTTTCCACCCGCTGGCAAAGATCTTTTCTGTGTTTGCAGAGAAAATACCGATTTTTCACAAGTGAGGGCTGTTCCAGAAAGTCTCCCAAGCATCTTAGAATATGCAATAGATCTAAACATTAAAAAAAAAAAATCTTTATTCTAAATAACTGAGCTACATAGTCAGGGGGGAACCAAACACCAAGAATATATTAGATTACATTCTTATAAAGTAAAATGCACATAGCCTCTCACACATTTCAAAGAAACTAGGACACTCATTTATACAGACCATGTACCATTCTACTGACCATAAACCTTGATTTTATTTGCTGTGATCTCTGAAATGGAGGTATTGCTGGTGGGCTTGGTATCCTTTCTTCATGGTTTACGAACAGCCTTGTAAATAAGTAATTTTAACCACAGCCTTCAACAGTCTCCCTTTTAGGACTCTGTCATAAAACGGTCAAAGACACAAATGTCCTGTTACTTTCTCAGGTTGAATTTTTGCTCTTGGGAAATGGCCGGTACATACAAGTCAAGGAAAACAACGCAAATCACTCCTTATATGTGGAGAACCTTGCATGCTCAACCAAACAGTTTACAAAAGAACACAATAAAATAATTTCACACCTTTGTCATTTGGCTCTGGGAATGAGGGGAATCTCCTTGCAGAACATGTCTCCTTGGCTAGGGAAAGACTCCACAGCAAACACTCCCTCTTGGCTACCGGATCCCGGTATATTCTCCACAAGCCCAATGACAGCTGTTTTTAAGGACAGTTTAAAGGGGATGTGACCACACCCCAGGCGTTGGACGAAGTGTTTACCATGAGGCCAATCAGGGTCTTGAACACTTCTGCTTCATCTCATGGGACTCTTGCTTGAGGAACCAGATCTTCCTGCTGCCTCAAGTGCAAAGCTCTCCAGAAATTACCACAGACACAGGCGTTCTGCTCTTGGAAAGATCTTCGAAGGACACACAATGACATCTCCAGTAAGTTGTTCCACCATCTGAAAATGTCATTTTCCTACACGCTATCGATCACCTTATTACCCCTATCCCTCCTCCTTCCCGAACTTGTGGTAAATGCAAAGTATCTCAGACTCTGTGTCTGGCACCAGGTCTTAAGAAATGGCCCCACATCAACATAGGACAACGGATTCTTTAGAACACAATTTTAAAACCATTATTTCCCGTGTCTGCTCTGTACCATAATAAGATGATCTTGCCAATGGCATAGTCAGTGGGCATTCAGGTTTATGCTGCTTGCCAACTTAGTAGCCACATGTCAACCTGAGAAAGAATGGGGGGCTCTGTGCCAGGTGGGCACGAAGCCAGGATGGGCCACAGCCAGACGTCAGGGTAGATCCTTTCCTGAAGCCACTGTCACGGGCTTGTGAAAGCACCTCAATCTGGCATTTCATTGCTAAGGTTCCACAGGGGCAGGGGTATGTTTACCCCATTCTTATGATCTCCACAGCACCCAGGTTGACATCAGGCTTCATAGGAAATTACAAATGGTCACTATTATGGTTAAGCTCCTGGTACGAGACATTACTTGGGGAAAAAAAAGGTCTCGTATTTACACCATATGCTAAAATCAATTTGAAATGAATTAAAGAGTTAAATGAACATCTCTCCTAATAAAACAGAGATGAATAGTTAGCATTTTCTCTTATAAATAAATGGAGAATTTTCTAAGTTAAAAAATGATACAAAAATCACAAAAGATAAAAACAATTGATTGCCTTAAAGTTTAAAGCTTCCATGTGTCAAAAAAACCCCAAACTGGGGCACCTGGGTAGCTCAGTCGGTTAAGCGTCTGCCTTGGGCTCAGGTCATGATCCCAGGGTCCTAGGATCGAGCCCAGCATCAGGCTCCCTGCTCAGCGGGGAGCCTGCTTCTCCCTCTGCCTGCCACTCCCCCTGCTTGTGCTCTCTCTCTCTGTCAAATAAATAAATAAAATCTTAAAAAAACCCAAATTAATTAAAAGATAAACACCAAACTCTAACAAAAGTATTTGCATCAAATTACAAAGGGTTTTATATGACACGTTGGTTTAATAAATCATTGAGAAAAGCAGTAACGGATCAAAAGAACACTGGGTGAGGAACACAAATAGAAATCTTAAAAGGATGCACACAAGCAAGGCATTTTGAAAGACACTTTGCTTCTTGCCCGCGGCGTTTGCTTATATTTAGTCCTAAATGTTCCTGAATTCAAGTACGAATATTTCCACAGGGTCTAAACTCTGTGTACAACATGGCTTTTATGGGGCTACGTGCCCTAAACTAAGTCTTGCTTGAGATGCAACATGGCCCTATTAATGGCTGCACCAGTCCCTGTGAGGAGTGCTGGCTCCAAGGCTCCAAGCTAGAGGCCATGGTTGGGAGGGGGGCTCCAGAGAGACAGGGAGGGGAAAGTACTGAGGTCTCAACCTCCCACTGATGGGACTTCTGGAGACGACACAGACTCACAGACTGAGCTAGCTTAAGGTCATCCTCTCTCCCAGCCCTTTAGTTTTCCAACTGGCATTTCTCACCTTCCTGGTCTCCTCACTCCTAAACCAGGTGCAGAGTCCGAGAGTCTCGCTTCCACCCTCACAGCTGACAATGAGAAGTACACAGAAGACATAAAAAGCTACTTCTCACTTCCTTCCTGTCTTTCTCCTTTCATTCAGATGCCCTGAAGAATCCCAGAAAGAAGTGCCCTCAGATTACTTGGATGGGGTCGGAGGTGCCTACAAAGACTGGTCTAAGGTAACAGAAACATAAAAACACAGCAGTTCTGGTTACTTTATCACAGGACTGGGATGAAACCTGATAGGAATGATGAGCCGAGGCACTGGCTGATAGGCCGAGCGAGGGGAGCCTGCCGGAAATGAAGAGGGTAGCAAGGATGGCCGGAAGGCCATCTCCCACCGCGGTAGTCCTGCCACTGCAGAGGCCAGGGGGCACTGGGGAGGGTCCAGGAAGTGACCCAGGAGTTGGGATAGGGAAGGAACTGCGGTACATTCACAACTGGATCAGAAGTGACAGAGAAGGGCCACGACCTAAACCTGGATAAAAGGGATTTAAAGCAGAGATTCTGCACATTCACACTGACTTTAAATGCATTTAAATTTATTTCCTTGTTAGAGGAGCCTAGCGGCTTTCCTTGAGAATGTGGCACCACTGTTGTGTTTCCTTTTAAAGCACAGGGCAGAGTCATAAAGGAGTATCTTACATAAATGTCATGCTTCCGAACCCCTCTGAAGAACTCGAGCTTTGTGTTGCTTCTCCGATGGTGGAATCAGTAAGGTTCCCTCACATGCCGTTAATTTTTTTCCCCCCTATGTTTACATCTTGAGGCAGAAGAGTCTATCTGACTAGCTACATGATGGGCTATGTGAGGGAAAAAAATCTGGGCTATTAGAGTGAAAAAGCGAGTTTCATGTAAATTTTGAAAGGAAAATGTGTCAAGAGCATGGTTTTTAAACTTATTTGGTTTCATTTAAAAAAAAAAAATGTTCTTTAAACCCAGTTATTTCACTTGATTTGCTAGCTTCAGGGAAGAGATCCGACTTCGTGACCAGCGCTGAAGGCTCCGTGTTAGTGTGGCTTGTGAGGGCCGCTGTGCCATATTCTTGCTGGAGATGAACCCTAGCACTGGAGCCCATCCTTCCTTGTCCGTCGTGACCCAAAGACGTCACCGTTCCTAGTTATTTGTCACCACGTAATTGGTGTTGATTGGAAACTTTCCCTGAAATGGGGCAGAACTGCTTGGTTGCTTCCATGTAACTTAAGCATAATAATATAAATAAATAGTTGGGGGAAAAAGAAAAAGAGTTGGGTCACCCAACTCTTTTTCCACAGCAAACAGGGCTGGAAAAGGCAGGCAAGCCATAAACAGTAAACGCTAACTCAGAAAGATGCCCGGGGCCCCTCCGACATGCTCGGTGCCAACGCTACAGATCTGCATTGCTTACTTCTCTAGGACAACTGTGTCAAGCGGATAGAATACCTCTATTTTACAGATGACAAAACTGAGATGTAGAGAGTTTTAGCAACTTTGTTAAAGTCCCACAGCTGGTAACTACTGGAACCAGGATTTGACCATGCGTCTCCTCTCCTGGCCGGGGCTCTTTCCACAACATCGTGCTGTTGCCCATAAATTTTACCTTCATCCGTAGGTGGGAAGCCCCACCAAGTTCAAGATCAGGTGGGGGGGTCACAGAACCCTCAATTTGGGAACAGGCGTTAGCTCGGCGACTTGGCTTGTTGGGCTTCTCTTCAGGGAGAGCAACAGACCTCTCATCCCAGAGGAAGACGCCTCGCGGGAGCATCGCTGCCTGGCTCTCCTCCTTCTATAGTTCCTTGTGCTCCCAAACAGCCACGCACCTCCTTCCAGGCCCAGCTGCTAGACTAAGAAGAAGTCATTTATGTCCGCATAGTTCATATCGTCCAGCCTGTTTCTCAAATGCACGTTCCTGGCGCTGAAGTGACTGAACTGAAAGCAGAACTGTCTGCATGATTTTCACGTGAGAGAGCTTCAAGTTCTGCCACCTGAGCGTTCTGAGGGGCGGTCACCTCCTGTATAAAGCAGAGACCACGTCACACTCCTACAGACCGAGACGGTGTCCTGTCGCTCTCCATGGGAGTCTCTGCCTTCCAGCCCTGCCACCGTCAAGTGCTTCCTCCCTCGGGAATACGTCATTCTCCACACGTATCTGCCCCCTTTCTCACGTCCCTAACCTGCACCCTCCTCCCCTGGCTATTCCTACACACCTTTCAGGTCTCCGTGTAAACATCACAGTTCCAAAAAGGCTTCGCAGATTCCCCGTTCCCCATCAGGGTCCGGTCCCCTGCCGCGTGCTTTGCAGAATCTTGTGTCACCCTGAATTGCATCTTATTTGTCCGCTAGGTCAGGGGTCCAAAACCCACTGCCTGCGGGCCTAGTCAGTCCACAGCCTGTTTTTGTAAATAAAGTTTTACTGGAACACAGCCATGTCCATTCACTGACGAGTCATCGACGGCTGCTTTCAGGCTGCACCAGCGGAACGGAGTAGTTGTAACACAGACTGCATAGACCACAAAGCCTACGATATTTATAATCTGGTACTCGACAGAAAAATGTTGCTGACTCCTGGTCCAGACTGCAAGATTTCTGAAGACAGGGTCATGTACCCCCAAGGTCTACCACAAAGGCTTACTCAAAGACTGCTCATTCCATATTTGAGGAATGAATAAATGAACACAAGCACAAAGAAAATCACACTGAAAAGCCACGGAATGGACTCTGATAGTCTCAAAGAAGAAAAAAGTGCACATTCTACATATAACTGATTGTTTATTGAGAACTAATTTCAAAATCTGAAGCCTAACTTTAAACCCAAATCTCCTGAAATAAAATGGTATTAAAATATGTTTCATTTACTCCAAAATCACTTCAGGCTCCTGAAATTTTAATCCATTGTCCAGTACTTTACCTGGTAAGAGGCAACAGCCTTTGTCCTTAGGACGTCTTGTCCTTATAAAACAGCATGGATTTTAGAGAGAGAACCCTAGCCACCAGGCACTGAATTTAATTTCTTACTCACAAAAAAATGGTATCAGGGTATCGAGTGACTTTTTTTTTTAAACCTATTCTCATTGAGGAAATTCCTTCTCAGTTGTCTTACTTTTGAGTTCTGCAGGGCCCCTCTCCACCAGCCCGATTCCATAAGTGTCTTGCCCCGAACAGTGAGCCACATGTGACTCACAAATCCGTAAATAGAGGGAATGAGTAGACACATTAGCTGTGACATACTGTGGAAATCCTGAGACTGAGTGGTGAGCTGCCACCAACTGGAGGACCTGGAGAAAGAGAACCTTCTCTTTCACATAAATCTATCTCAAAGAGAGAACATAAACAAACAATTGGTTCCTTTTATCAGGCACTGCAAGTACTGGGAAGATGGTCTTTCTTGTGTGAGGAAGGAGATTTAACATGCACATATAAATCACACAACTAAGTCCCTGCCCACCTCTCAGACGACAAGCACGTCACACTGTAATGGCAGGCCTCACGTGGGCATATGAGTTGGTGTGTGGGTACCTCGGGGAAGAACCATGGAGAGGCTTAATATTCTGAATAGAAATGAACAGCCTGACAATGGGCAAGACCGTGCATTCCAAGTTTTGCCTAAAGGGCTAAATTAATTGTGTTCTGCTAGTTACCATGCCACTTGATTAAAAAAAAAAAAAAAACAAAAACCCATCCCACAGATCCCAAGAGGAGCGGCATGTTAGGTTACAGATACATTAATGACATGAGAAATGAAAATGCATCCAAAGAATCCTTTGATGCCAGAAGTGAAATACGAACACAGCCTGAGAATGATGTCAAGTCATCTCTGAAAATTAAATCTGATCTCACATGATTGCTCTACTCAGTTTTTATTGATAGAATTTTCTTTCAAGTGCCACCCTGTAAGTCATCTCTCTTCTTCCCTTTTGCCCCCCCACTCCTCCCAAAGAAGAACAAAAAGAAACCCAAACAGTGATCATTAAGGGAAGCCTCAGTGCACTGCAGAGCCGGATGGAGATGCAGAGAGCTGCTCTGGGTGGGCACAAATCAGTGCATCGATGGGCTGATGAAAACCTGGAATAATCACCCGAAATGTGTTTATTAAACAACTTATGGCTCAGGGTGCTCATTAGACTTTGCACAAAGGGCTTTTATTGTGTCACAGATTGAAGGGGACAAGATAGCCCCACAAGCAGTTCAGTACATCTGTGGGTTATTTATACACAACCGAGGTTAATTAGAGAACTTCCACATACCCTGTATTTCACCAATCAACACAAAATCAGGAGGGAAAAGCTCAGCTAACTCAAGGTATTTTCATGTAAAGAATGTTTCCTGTTAGAAAATCTAATGCAGCAACAAAGAATATTTATAAATATACTCTTCTAACCATGTGGGTTTTGCATAATCTCAAGTCCCCTGGATTCATGGAAGCATTCAGAAAAATAAGATTATCTTCTTAGTAGCCATCGATGTAGACTCTTCACAACTCAGTAAATTAGAAATTATCTTGAGGAAGTTAACATCATCATCTCCCAAATTTAAGAAATAGTATTTGGCAACCAGATGTAAAGTGAAGCCTAGGGGAAGCTGTCTGAACCGTGGAGGAGGGCATTCTCATAGTATAAAAAGACATCCCAGAACCAGAAATATCTTGGCCTAGACAGGATTCTAATGTTGTTTTTTTTTTTTTTCTTTTAGTTACAAACTGATCACATTGCTCAAAAAGCGGATATAGTTAACATACAATCTTGTAAGCTTGCTTGAGGATAGAAGCAGCTTGCTAATGTCACTGGAAATCAAAGGTTAAATGGAAATTTCAGGCCATTAGGGAAACTACATTCTTCTAAAACGAGAGCAATCTTATTGTTGGCTTCTGCCATAGTAACCCAAGTATTAGGACCGAGAATGTTCCATGACTCATGGCTTTATTTGAAAGCAAATACAGTCAAATCCATCACATTCTTGACCTGCAGTTATGATGTGATGTAGCAAAAAAGGAAAAGGACCCATTCCATTATTTAAAAATAGAAATCCCTTCTGGAAAATGCTTTTCTAGGAGCTCAGAATAGACCTAACAAGGAGCAAAAGGTAAAAATATGCACAAAGCGATGCGCAAGCGAATCCTCCAGGTGGCACTCTAACAGCAATGCCGCTCCTTCCCCAGCTGCCCCGCTAGGTCTCATGCGGCGGGGCAGAGGGGCTCCCTCAGGGTAGGGGTGGGCGGCAACCCTCCCTGGCGCCCCTCACCGCTCCCATGGCAGGAAACAGGGAGGAATCCAACTGCATGGCCAGCAAAGCAGTCATTTGCCCATGGTAGTTTTCAAGTTGGTCAATAATGGTATTATTAAAGACTTTTATAGGCCAAATTGGGAGCCAAATGCCAGTTTTCTGTCCCCTCTGCAAGGTGGCCCTTCTACACCTCAATTACCGAGTCCTGAATTAGGATCCGACACTGACCCAAAGGAAAGATTTCCATATCCTAAATCCCCTCTGCTCCTGTTCTGGAATCTTCTTCCGCTCTACCAAGGGCAACGAAGCTCCCTGGGAGAGAGAGCAGAACTGCATAGCACTGCTGCTAGCACTATGTGAATGAGAAAGCGTGAGGTTTGGACACACTTGTTGCTGTTTTTTCACTAAGGGAGAGAAATTATTTGTGCTTTGGGAAAAATCTGACTCGTAATGTCTGGCTTCAAAACTCCAGAGATTACTAAAGAGATGACAGGGATGGAAGTTGGCCAGGCAAAGGCTCAAATGGAGGAAGGACCCTGCGATAGATCAGGGTGACATAGCAGAGTGTTTGGATGCACATGCAGACGTTATGCAGACAGAGCATTCCAGTGGTAAGTGACATAGATTAGCACTATAAAGAGAATATGGACAAGACAGAAGCTTATAAGGTCCCTGGAGCGGAGGGCAGAAGTTGGTTGTGGGGGTTTCTCCCCAAGTGCCAGGAGAGTGTCAACAGTCTTTCGAACGTGATGAAAGTCCGACTGCAGGATGTCATACGAAGAGCAGAGGTCGGCCTATTCCGTGGGCAGCCATTAGAACAGAAAGAGACAGTGCATACAATTAAAAATACACGCATTTCTGGTTACTAGCAAATGGCAAGAGTAACCCCTTATTTCAAGCAGGTAAAAACCCACTCCACCATCAAAGATTTTTTTTTTAATCCATTACAAAAGAGAAGTAGCATACCCAACGTGTTTTCTGCAAACAGTGCAAAGAAATCCTCCACTCACAATGCCACTACTAAGGAATAGCATGTTCTGCAATTACTAGGCCATTCCGGCATCGAAACAGTTTTAATGTTGAAGTGGAGTCATGTGCTCACCAGTGGCATAAAAATAAGAGCTTTTGGCTAGGGACATTCAGGACCTAACCTTACCTAAGGGAAGAATATAAACTTCCAAGTTGAATCCCCACCTGTCCTCACTATTCTCAATGTATTCTTCAGCCTGGTTTATGAAGACTGAATGAGTATCAAGCATTCCTCTCTGAAAGGTAATACGTACACCTAATTTTTTTGTTTGTTTGTTTTAGGGTTACTGGTAAACTCTGGGGAATGCTGCTTTTAAGTATGTTCCTACATGTGTCAGAAAGTACATTAAATTTCGTGGTTTTGCAGCCACACATAAACCAAAGTCTAGAGGAGGCTTCTCAGATGTGCAGTTAGCATAAAAGTACAGGGCCGCATGGGGCTGTTATGTAAATTTCTTCACCACTAAACAGGTAACGGTGGGGCACAGCTCTTCTGAGTGCCTCTGAATATCTGTTGCTGTCAGGAAGCAAACCGTTTCCTGATTCACTGCGTTCCTGAACTGGAAATGACCACGGCTTAACATTAACAGTGGTTATAATTGACATGTCAATAGGAAAGAGAAGTAGTTTTGTGTCCAGATTAAACAAGGATTGAAAATATTTGTATTTCATAAATGCAGCTTTATTTCAAAATTGGCAAAGTATTTAAAATATATGTAACATATATTTTATAACATACTTTGCTACAGTTTTACCCTTTGTTTTAGCCTCATTGCTAAGCAGATGCAAATCGCAGAGCCACTCAAAGATTCTAAGATAGATATGCTGTCTTGCTTATATCCTCTGAAGTTAGCTTGATGCCCTCAGATAAATAGGAATACTACAACAGCAAGTGGGATGAATAAGATTAAAAACAGACAGCTCTTATTTTAATTTATGAAGGTAGAGAAGCTGCTGTTAAGGAAAGGCTTTTTAAAGATATCAAGTCATGTTATATCTATTCAGATCACGAATCTTTTCTCAGTGGATTTGGAGGAATCAAACTACCACTGTTATTTTCCTAAGAATTAAAACAGCTACACAGAGATTTGGTTTCACTGGGAGAGAGACGCTGGTCAAGGACTAAGGGGATGGGGAAACATCTAAGGAAAGAAGTTTTTATTGCAGTAAGAATTTTCTATTGCAATGTTGTGCTTTAACCAGTGAAATCTGAGCAAAGCAGACATAAGACAGAAGGCATCCACAAACTGAAATGTGATTTTCACAAAAGTGGGTATTTCCATGTTAAAAGCAAATCATTCTATCTCCAGTGTGTATTTTAATACACTTCCCGGGACCCTATGGAAAATGTCTGGTCTGCTCCCCAGCAACGTGGTCAAAGAACTTGAATCGGATTATCCTTGTGGTGTTCTTAGAGTAGCATACTTCTCACATGGGTAGCCAACACAGACCTTTCTTCTCCTCCTGGAATTAATTTCATGATGCCACACATTCTGGGCTTAATTCAGATTGAAGTGGGTAGGGCCTAGACTCACAGCCCATGGTGGCTGGTTTAAACTAAATCATGATCTCTAAAGGAAAAGGCATGGGTCTAAGATCATCTGGTAGGCAAAAACTGGAATCACCATAACGTGGGGAGTGTGGGCTGCTGGGGCCCTCTCAGACCGGCGCTCTGATTCTGTCCCACATCCCATTTGAGCAGCCCCTGCGGGGGATGCTGGGATAAGAACGAGGGTTAACACCGCTGGGAGAAAGGAATTTTCTGACCCTCGTGCCTACCAAATTAAAGTTGTAATGAGAGGGACTTAGGGATTATACATTTCTTATCTTAAAATTAAAATAGGAAAATGCTAAAAAGGAAGAAAATTTAAAGAGGCAAAATTTCACTCTGTATTACAGAGCCTTAGTAATGACTGCAAGGCATTTGAAAAACACAGTTAATACACTCAGAGTCCTCAGAGGCAAGTGTGGATGCTAATTCTCACTATAGAGAACAGAAATCACAATTGCCAGAGGTTAACTGATTCTCTTAGAGTCAACACAAGAATGTGTGACTAAGCTTACTATTAAAGATTGGCCCAGCTTCCCTGAATACTATGGACACAAACAGAAATGTAGACAGATCAGGCAAAAGGTCTGGTTTATAAATGTTCTGAGTGTCACACAGTCTAAATTCTAGGAGATTTAGAATGTATTCAGTTTATTTAAATATAATTTTAATTTTTAAGGTCAACATACTTACAAAGTTTTTTTTTTTTAAGCTAAGATAACAAAGCTCAGGAATGTTGATAGTCATTCTGAACATTTAAGGTGCTGATGGACAAGGTATAATTTGGTGGGGGTGGAGTGAGGTAACAAAGGGTTTCCAGAATTTTCTCCAAATATATGAGAACTAATCATCAATTTTAAGGACTTACAGACTAACTGTTCTATCAGTAAGCTACTTTATCTACAACTGTAATTAAAGATGCTGCTTTTAAAATGTTTATATAAAACAGAGTAGAAAAATTTCCCTGGTGAACCAAAAAAATATCTATTTTCTAATACTTTTAATGCTTCATAAATCAGAAGTTTCTTTTGACCTGCGACAACACTAATAAGAGCCCCAAACTGCCCTAAATTTGAATCAATTTGGAAACCCCCAATAGCCAACCATGAATCTTCAACAACAAGTTTACAGGCCAAGAAAAGAAGCCTCAGTATGTCCATTAATAGCCTCATGAGTCCAAGGCTTAACCGAAGTCAGATTCTCGGACACAAAGAATGTATCCTCAAGAATCTGAAAGGCCACCAAGGGTAGGCCTGTCTTCAAGATCAAGTTGATGTTGGGGCGCCTGGGTGGCTCAGTCGTTAAGCGTCTGCCTTCGGCTCAGGTCATGATCCCAGGGTCCTGAAATCGAGCCCCGCATCGGGCTCCCTGCTCAGTGGGAAGCCTGCTTCTCCCTCTCCCACTCCCCCTGCTTGTGTTCTCTCTCGCTGTGTCTCTATCAAATAAATAAAATCTTTAAAAAAAAAAAGATTAAAAAAAATTAAAAAAAAAAAAAGATCAAGGTGATGCTTGCACCAGAAGTCAAAGACAGCTTGCACAGTCTGACGACTGGCATCATTACCACAAGGAGCTCTGGGTGATGCGGGCACCATCACCCAATCCCTAGATTTTCCAAGGCACCATGACGCACCTGCAGTTACTCCTTCGACTGCTAAGCACCCCCCCCCGCCCTCCCCCAAGCAGGGGAAGCAATTATGGAGCTGCAGGATACAGATGAGCTTAAACGGACTCGTACAGCTCAGAGAAATCATAGGGGTCCGATGATTTCCAAACTATGTAGGATAGTAGCAGTAGGATACCTTTTCCCCCAAAGAAAATGTTAGCTGGAAATCCAATATATGCTATAGACAAAGGAGAAACTGCTCTGGCGCATTCAAGGGGGCAAGAATGATCTGTAGTCTCCCCCCTTGGCTTTCCCTTACCTCCCGTGCTGGCCACTGGAAAGACTCCAGGGTTCTGAAGAAGACGATTTGAATTTACTGCTCAAGTCCAACACCTGCAATCTGCAGATCGGGGAGCTCGGTCACAGAGAGCCAGGTTCAAACTCCAGCTCTGCAGCTACCAGCTGTGAACGTGAGCTTAGGAAATTGTTTAACCTCTCTGGACTTTAATTTCCTCAGGGCATGGCAATAAAATATTTACCTCCAACCCTCCATGGTAAGCATTTAAGATGATGCATAGATAAGAAGTCCTCAATAAAAGGTTAACCGCTGCTACTTTTAAGGAGTTAGCCTCAGGGCGCAGAACTAGTTAACAGCACAAGTAGGGATAATTGACCCCAAACCTCGTGCATTCCCTCCCTCTGCTCACAGATCCCCTTCACCCACTCACTCTTCTCCTTCCAGGTTATGTTCACTCCGGTTATGTCCCTTTAGCGGAGGAACTGGTCCCCAAACCAAAACCCCAACGCACCTGAAATGGGGAGCAGGAAGGAAAATTACCTGCGCTGAAATAACTATTGGAAGGGATGTCATCCCCTCCACTGAGAAAGAAACTTGCCGGCGAGTGCTACTTCTGGTTCATTTTTAAGGACCTTTCCTTGGCATTCTCATTAGCAAGCCTCTACCTCATCCCAAGTCCCTCTCAGTTAATAGCAAGGAATTCTCCTGTCATCCTAACAGAATTTCTCCATGTTCCCATCACTAACGTCTTTCTGTGATGTCATCTTCTTTCCATCAGTAGCAGCTGCTGTTCCAAATCCTGTCTGTTCCCCCGACTGAGGAGCCAAGGGGATAGACCCAGCCTCACCCAAACGTCACAAATAACGCACAGAGGTCTGGAGTGGCCTTAACCTGTCTACATATGCTAACCTGCAGCAAATACGCAGACCACAGCCAGGTCGAAGAAGGCACATTTACGGGTAAGCCACACCAGAACCTCTCTACCCAAGCGCAGAGTAAAGTGCTTCATGAACCTTGACCGACCCCGAGGCACAGAGCTGGGATTGTGTCCACGGGGACTTCTAAAGAAAATATAATAAACTGTAACAATTTGAACAATTTTAAAATTACTTCCATCCCTTCAGATTCTTTTATATGTAAAAACTCAACTAAATCTGCTCAGCAACCACATTCCACGCATAGGAACCTGACAAAATTATATAAGCTGCGGAGGCTGACTTGGCCTTGGCGTTTCGAACAGTGATTCCATTATGAAGGACATCAAAGGCAGGGCTTAGAGCACGGCTGTGACTTTTCAGTCTCTACGGGAAGAGTCATCACTGTCAATTAGTACTGAGCTTATAAGATGCAGAATTCAAGATCTCTGTGACTTATGAGTGTATGTGAGTAGATAAGCAATGGATGGAGAAGAAAGCAGGAAAAAGCTTACACATTGAGGAATTAACTATGTGACTGGGAAATCAATGACTATTTTGTTACCCAAATATGAGGTGTGATGCAATTAAGAAAATGTAAAGGGTACAGGTTCTCTCTCTCTCTCTCTTTTTTTTTTTTGGTATGAGCCTTTTCAAATATCTGATCATAAATGGAGAATTTCTGCACTTAGGCTTGTGATATAATTATTTTTAATGTAAATAATTAATTGTAGTGTGCTACATATACATTAAAACATCCACCCCCTTCAGAAGTGAAAGAAGTGTATCTAAGGCGAAGGGAGTCATTTCACTCCTATCATATGCCCAGATGAAAAGATTTCCTCATTTCCCAGCATGTATTCCTCGTGCATTCTGAGATGAAAGCAAGCTCCCTGTGCGTCCAGGAAGATCTGCCAATTGCCTTCCAACGGCATTTCCAGTTTTCCACTAGAATATCCCTTCCTCACTTTTTCCACGTCTCGTTAAGAAGTTCAACTGCCAACTAACCACCAGACTTTTTCTAGTAGCCAGAAGCTTAACGTAACTCCAGTCCCTGGTGAAATGCTATTGGATTACCCAGCAGGATGGATATGTCTGTACACACACACACGCACACGCGAGCATGCACACAACCACACATGCACCGTTATACACCATGCAAACTTGAAAGACACCTACAATCTTAAAACATTTTCAAAACCAGCCTAAGTGATATATTTTACTAAGCAGAGTTGAATGGGACACTGGCAGGAAAGATTATTTATTCCCTGTAACTCAATCTTCTCAGAAATTAGGAACTGCTGATGAGTGCAAGGGGGGCACATTGCTAGGGGCATATTTCAGAAATTATGATACATTTTTCTCTGCCTATTATGGTAATTTAATGTCCTTTTCCCTACTTTAAAAGAAAATTGTAATCACCAGTCTTTACTCACAACACTTGGTTAAGGCCATTTCCATTTCATTTTGTATCACCATAAGCCAAAAAAATTTTCTGATGAGTTTAAAAAATATCACAGCGCATTAGGGAATTAGGTCGTAACTCACCAGTGCTTTTTCTAGGACAGACACAAATAATTTATCTTCTGAAACTTGGTACGATAGTTTTGATTCACACATGGAAATCTTACTAGCCCATGATGGAGTCCAATTATTAAAAATAGTATGTGTATAGGAATTAAAGATTTGAAGCCAACAATGTATATGCAATATTAAAACATACACATGTAATATAGACACACAGATTAACATTGTTGAAAGACATCTGGATTGACCACAAAGACATTGAGTCCATTATATAAATAGTACACTCTTTTTAAACATGAATTTATACGCTTTTCTTTGTTGATAGAGTTCTGATGTAATGATGCTTTAATAATTCTCTTCTTGTCCTCAAATACGATTAAAAATTGCACCACTAACCCCTTACTTTTGAAACTTAACAAGCTAAAAGAGGAAGGGAGGGAGGGAGAGAGGGAGGGAGGGAAGAAAGAAGGAAGGAAGGAAGGAAGGAAGGAAGGAAGGAAGGAAGGAAAAAGAGGAAGATGGGAGGGAGGGAGAAGAAGCCTTTCTCAATTCCAATACCTAACTCCTATCACTGAGTAGAATTACATTACAATATAATTCTTTCACATACTCATAAACAGTATTTCATGACAGAGTTTGTAGTTACTTTATCTCTGGCATATTAGAAAACATAGAAGAAAAATTTTTAAAATGTAATTTCTGGCTATTTCTGTTTATCACAATGATGATAAACTTCTCAACTTACCCCCAAATTCTGAGTGGATTGTCTTTTGTCTCCCGAAGAAATCATTTTGTTACTAATAGCAAGGTCCTTTAAAAGCCCCAAATTAGCTATCAGGCTGAGGCTGAGGCTGGGACTTAGCTTGGGAGAAAGAAAAAGTAGCCAAGTATAGTTGGGCTGGCTACAGGGAATGCCAATTGGGTCTACAGCGGACTAATGGGGAAAATGGAACTGCAAACAGAGAACAAATTATAAAGCAACATACAAACATTGTTATTATTATTGGTAATGCTTAATTACAATAATAACAATAATTATAATATTTTCAACATTGACTATTTTGATCCACATACCCAAAATGCAACTATTCAGGATGAAAATCAACAAATTAGTTGATTTTCAACTAGACCTGTCAACTACAGGTCTGCTTTGCTTAAGAGCTGTGGATAAGGAAAACCAACAGCTCCAAAATTCTACCCTATGGAACCTGCTAGAAGGCTCACTGGAGCCACAGTAATTTCTGTTCTTGGAGTAGGGAATCAAGCCAACTACATGTTTTTCTCCAGGTTGAAATTCTGCGTTTATTTCAAAACCTTAAGGAAATTATATTCCCTTTTCCCTCAGTATTGACCCTACCACTTTAAGCCATTTTAATTTCACTGCAAAGGAATTTAAACTAAATTTTGTATTAACTTATTTCATATTATTCCTCAAGAAAGACTGAGACTAAATAAAAAGCATGTGCAAAGCTGTACATCCATTCAGTGGGTTCGAACACATATAATAAATGAAATCTGCACCAAAACATAGTTATTGGGACTAAGTTTGACGTTACCTCTGGTACTCCTAATTTTCGGCATGCTTCCAAAAAGTTTTCCACATTTCTTCTGCATTTGGCCATGCTAAGTTTGGGCTATAAATACAAATGTGCAGAAATAATGTATTATTAAAAGAGAAATAATTTTAATAACAGGTTAAGTTTTAAACTTTCTAAATGCCACAACTAATACATGTTCATTGGAGGAAAAAATACATAAGCAAAGAGAAGACAATAAATATCATCTAGAAACATCCACCTAGAGATAAAAATTAAGATTTTGGATTATATTCTTCCAGACATTGTATATGTGTGTGTGTGTATGTGTGTGTGTGTATGTGTGTGTAAAGATGTAAGTAAATGGGGCACCTGGCTGGCTCAGTTGGTAGAGCGTGCAACTCTTGATCTTGGGGTTATGGGTTCGAGCTCCACGTTGGGTGCAGAGATTACTTAAAAATAAAGTCTTAAAAAAAGATGTACATAACCATATGTACAACACTGATGTTTATGTAAGCAGAATTTCTGCATGTGTGCATACATGTGTATATGTATGTGTATACATGCAAATTTCTACATACATATGTATGTGTGTATGTATGTATACATACACACATGCATACTGACAGTTTTTATGGGATCATACTCTTGCGTAATCTGCTCTCGTTCATCTACAAATACACCATAAGCATCACCTGTTGCCATCAGCAAATATATTTCAATGTGAAGGGTTAAATTCAGCAGGCCAATTAATCTCCTTCCCACCAAAGCGAAGGGTTTAACAACAAAGAGGCAACAGAGGTAAATGGCATAAAAATAGTGGGATGTTTAGGACCCAATCAAGGGCCACTCACAGTTGAGCTGACTGTGGTTACAGATCACCTCTAAGGTGTGGGTTGGAAAACAGGTACATCAGATTCACACATTTTAATTTTTACATGGTAGGTTTAAAAGCTTTACTGTTAAATTTTAATATTTCCTTCTTCCCTTAAAAAGGGAGCAAGAAGTATGACTGACTCCAACAATCTCGGTGTAGAAGCAATGTTTTATAAAGACTGATTTTGCCCTGTGAACAGCAAGTGACCGTGAAGTAACTCTTATTCTAGATGGTCTACACCAGTCATCACAAAAATCTAAGTTTGCACATTATTTTTTAAAAAGGGACTCCTTCTATCCCTACCTCCTCACCCCCCCAAAAAAGAAAGAATGAAAGCCTGCTGATGTGGAACAATTTAGTTTGGAAGTTAAACAAACATTCTCCACCTTGGCTAGAGAGGAAATGGTCCCCCCTCAACGTGAGACTTGCAAAAGTGGGGCAAGAAGCTGCTTGGGTGGTTTTGCCCATTTCCTGGCATGTGTTAGGACAAGACCACCACATTAACCTCATGCAAAGGGAAGGACGGGCAGAGGTAATGTGACATGGGGATACCAGAAGAACAGGTGCTAGCCCAGCTGTCAGGGCACCCAGAGGCATTTCATCATTCAGAGACCCTAGCATTTGTCTCTCCAATCCTCTGGGCCCATTATCTTCCTTCATATACTTATTATTTAGGTGGGAGGAGGGGTCTGTTCTGAAACTCCGAAGATGCCCAACACCATTCACAATATTTATGTCAGCCCTAAGTGAGGTGAGTTTCAAGCTACACAAAGAGAATTTCCCATCTTTGGAAGTGGGAGGGAGGGCCCCATTCTACGATTGATGCCTGGGTTTAGGGTAGAAAAGTACTTGCTACAAATAAGAGGTTCAACCCCACCATCAGCTGAAGAGTCAAAATGACACCAGCCTTGCATAAAAAAAAATGGACAGTATCAGTTTCGTTAGTGAAAAATTAGAATGCTTAATGCTGACAATAACGTGGGTAGAAAAGGCATCCACTGCTGTTGGTGCAGCTACGATGGTGCAAACGGAGTGTTTACTGGGTGTCGGATACTCCGCTAGGGGCTACGTGTGCACCCGTGGAAGTGAAACACACAATCCTCATGGGCGCTTAGCTCCAGTCTAGTTGGATCTATTGGTAAGTTAAAGGAGATTACAGTGTAATATGATACAGGCCTTAGTTGTGAGATGACCATCAGGAGGAAAAAAAAATGCAAGGAAAAGAATCTAACTTCATTCCAAGGGGTCAAGAATGGCTTGGCTCCCAGAGACGCTGAAGCAGAGGACAAACGGGAGCCTGAGCGGCTGCAAGGTGTGGAGATTTGGAGAGAGGGTAGGGAGCAACCCTGCGGGTAAGAGAGCACAGCCCGGACAAACGGTCGACAATGAACGCACAGACCAGGACAGCAGGCTGGGCTGCTCAGAGGGGCTCTGAGACGCTCACTCAAGAATGTTTGCTAAGTGGACATTTGGAAACAGCCTGTATTTCCAAAATACAGGCTATGATATGATAACATAAGGTACAATATCTGACAGTTATTAAAATGGGCACTTATTGAAAAATTTTAACGGCATGAGGAAATATCTAGGTTTTGATAAATTTTAAAAACTACTAAATGGTATACGTGAGAGCTAATAATTCAGAAACAACTTAAACATAGAAAGGATGCTAGTAGTTCGTAGAGAAACCAAAATGTTAACAGTGGTGGTCTTTGGCTTATGGAATAAAGGCTGTTTTTTCCCTCTGCATTTCTGTATTTTCTCTGGTTGGGCATTATTTCCCATTATTTTTTCAATTAAAAAAATTATTTAGAAAAGAAAATAGGGACTCCTGGGTGGCTCAGTCGGTTAAGCGTCTGACTTCAGCTCAGGTCATGATCTCAGGGTCCTGGGATTGAACCCTGCATCAGGCTCCTTGCTCAGTGCGGAGTCTGCTTCTCCCTCTCCCTCTGCCTCTCCCCCTGCTTACGCCTTACGTTCTCTCTCTCTGTCTCAAATAAATAAAATCTTTAAAAATAAATAAAGAAAAAAGAAAATAGGTTGACAACCAAAAGATTTCTAGAAGAACGCAGCATGTTTCCTGAAGGCTTAATAAAAACTAATGATGTAATGTACAATGATTAACATAACATAATAAAAATGTGTGTGTATATATATATATATATATAAATGCTTAGATACATGATTCATATTCACTATGAATAATATAATTGTAAATTCAAATTGGAAGCTATGAGGAGTCATGGTTTCTCTCTTATAATTCAGAAAGAATTATGAAATGAGAATTTGGCACATGGCTCAGACAACTTTACAGCAGTTTGGACCTTATTTGTAGAAAACAGTGGAAAGTTTCATACTGGATTATAGGGCAGAATTTGTTGCCCAAACTAAGGCAAGCTAGAGACAGATTTGAAAGAGAAGACAAATTGATCTTCCCCCGCCCCCATAATTTTTTTTTAAAGATTTTATTTATTTGAGAGAGAGATACTGAGAGACAGCAAGAGCAGGGCGCAGGGGCAGAGGGAGAGGGAGAAGCAGGCTCCCTGCTGAGCAGGGAGCCCAATGTGGGACTTGATCCCGGAACCCTGGGATCATGACCTGAGCCCAAGGAAGACAATTTACCCACTGAGCCACCCATGCGCCCCTCCCTTCTGATTTCTGAGGCAAAAGTGGTACAACTTTTCAGAGGAAGAATACGTTCCACAATATAGAAAGGAAACTGACAGTTGGAACAGGATCCTCAGTTAATCTCTCCTGCTGCCAAGAGAAAAGAAAGCATAAAAAATACCACTGTGACCTCCTTAATGCCCATCACCCGATGTGATAAGCACTGGGTGTTATGTGCAACTGATGAATTATTGAACACTACATCTGAAACTAATGATGTATCATATGTCAGCTGTTGAATGTAAATTTAAAAAGAAAAGAGAAAAAAAGATAAGGCCATTGTGAGGCTTTCCTGGGGGTGAGGGAGGTAGAAAAACGCTCATTATGTGATATTTTATGAGCACTGTGCCTTGACATTGGGGCTCTGAGTTTTGAAAATCTGTTCCATAGACCAACGACAGCAGCGGCTAAATTCGTGCATGTATCACAGGAAGTAGCCTTATTTTATCCTCACAGGAACACTTCCACGATAGAGAACAGATCAAGGTAAAAAGAGGTTAAATACTTGCCCGCAGTCATAGGGCTGACAAGTAGGTGTGGAGTTTGAACCCAAACCCTGCGTTCTTAGCCCCTAAATTCTTCCGCCTCTCCTAAGAACAGCGAAGAGTGTGGACAGAAATTCTTCTTTGTCCTCCGCTTGCCTGAACCTGACCTAGGCTCCAAAGGCAAGCTGTGCCCTGATGCCCCCACCCTCATCTGAATGACCATAAAAGTGACCCCGTAGCTCTGTGACCTACAGGCAGCAGCTCCCACTGCCAGCTTCCTCTCCCCTACAGCAGACACGAGGAGTTTTAGGCTATTAGCCGAGTCTCAGCGATCAGTCTGTCTCACTGCTGCCCCAGTATCTCGTGTACCCTGAGCAAAGTGAGGCCTAATGCCCGGCTGACCAACCTCTGGCTTGATGGGTTATTTAAAATGCCATTTGACAGAGAACCCACATCTTTCCAGAGTCATCCTAAAATCCTCAGTGACTAATAAAGGAAAGAGATTCCATTTAGCAGAGAAGTCACCAACCAAAAAAGCTTCCTGGAAAGACTTCTCACTGTTTAAATAACCCCTAGTGAGAAATGAATCTTTATGTCCTTACAGCCTTAAAAGTTAGCGCCCCAACCAGTAAGTCCTTTAACGTGATGTGCTTTGTCTTTGAAATAAATTCTTTTCCTGGCACTTACGTATTTATATATTCTCCCTTTTTAGGGGAAAATGTTGCTTCATTCAGAGCTTTTTCTTTCCCACTCTTCTAGTTGTTGAGGTCCTGGGGGACCCTGGCAGCAACTTTAACAAGCAACACTGTCCCCCCAAAATCTGTCTTATGTGAAAGTTAGTTTCCCTTTATCTGGTGTTACTTACAACTGCTGGTGAGGGGACGTGGATGCTTGCAACGGATCGCGGGCGGATGTGATTGACCAGGTGGCAGAGGACCACGCCGTCCATGAGTGCCGCCCCCAGGTCTTCGTGCAGGCTGACCTTGAGTCTCATCTCGATGCTCTGCGGGAGGAATCAGAGGGAAGCCAGGTGTCATCAGGCAACGGAGGGTCAAATAGAGTTCCAGGTATTTATGAACTGAGACATTAACATACTGGGATTACTTCTTGAGTTCAATGTTGCCTCACCCTTGGCTACGGAAATATAAAACCAGAATGAGGTGACCAACAGAAAGCAGGACCAATTGGTTCTGACAGGCTGCCAGGGGCAGAGGAGGGACTAAGGGATGCTTTTCTCTTAGATTATGTTTTAGCTGAGAAATCAATTTTTCTCCCTTAAAAAAAAATTGAACTTTCTATTTTGAGATAATTATAAATTCATACTCAGTGACAAGAAATAATACAGAGATCCCATGGCTTTTGGGTGGCCCTTTAAAAGAAATTGTGCCCATTAGCATTTCTGGGTTTCCAACTACTTCAGCTCCAGATGTGAGATATATGAGGCAAAAAAGAAAACCCACAGAGCTCACCACGGTGTCATTTCTAGTCCCTATGGGCCCTAGCCAGACTGCTGTCTTCTCTCTACCTTTCTGAGTGTTCTTATGTTTATTTTATATATAATGTCCATGGTTTTTACTTATACTTAGTGAGGGAAACAGGGAAAAGTAGGTTTGTTCGATCTTCTCAGAAGCAGAAGTAGAGAAATTAACTTTCTGAACTTCAAATACAAGTTTCTGTTTTATAACAGTGGCTCCTGTTAAATGGATTAACAGCCCAAGAAAGAATGACTTATGGAGATTTGGAATAAATGAAGCACTAGAAAACCAGTGCATAAAACAGTGTCACGTAATTCCTTCTCAGAACGGTCCTGTGTGTAGACACCTACTTTTCTTCTGTACACTCTTTCAGTCCCTTATTTTATATCATAAATGAAAATGTAAACAACCAATATAACCCACACTTTAAAATAAAACTGTCACTCTTTGAGAGGCATGTCTCAGCTTCTGATCTTATTTTCACCTTCCTCTGAAAGTTCACCTCCCAAATTTACAGCACATGCAAATACTCTAGGCAAACCACAGAGGTCTGACTTTCTCGCTGGGACTGTTGAGCCAACCACAGTGACTTAAAGCAGTGGGAAGGGGTTTCTGTGCTTTTAATTCCTCCCTCCTGACCCCCTGCTAAACCATATATAAACTATCATCTGTAGCAACAACAGTGTGGACCTACCTTAATTTAACTTTGATTTTATTTACGGGATTCAGTTCTCATTTGCAGAACTCATTGCCATCTGAAATTATATGTTTATTTGTTTCCTTCTCATTTACTATCTCTACTCATAGACTACGGGCTTCATGAGAGCAGGGACCTTTATGTTCTCTCCTATATCCATCTCCTAGAATACTGCCTGGTACACAGTAGCAGTCAATCACCCAGTGACTGACGAAGATGTACCTTGAATCTATCCCCTCTAGACTTTCTTACACTCTTCTGGTCCATGGCTATGGTACTTGTCCTTGAATATAAAGAACTTATGAAGCAGTTCATGGTGCGCTGACTTTAATAATTAATATCCATGTGTTCTCTGGCGACTGACCCATGCACTGCTATTTGATCTTTCATATATTCATGTATGAGCTCTTGAACTAGATACAAAGACCATGAGGATAGACAAATACCTCCAGAGTGCCCACCAGAAGCTGTGTGGGAACAGAAATACAAAGAATAAGATAGCTATGTTCCCTGCCATCACCAAGCTTAAAATCTTCGTTGGCACCTAGCACTCTTGGGTAGGAACTCAAATGCTTTGCTTAAATGCCTGATTACAAAGTTCTGATCAGTTGGAATACAAAGTAGGATAAGGATAAACATTTTTAAATTAATGGAATGTTATTGCTAAGTAAAAGAATGACAGCGTATTATTGTAGAGCATACCTGAATTGAAACAATACTAGGTTTTATCCATATGTATTTCAACTTCCATTATCTCATATATTCCTCACAAGACCCCACTAAGATGGGAAGTATTTTTTTAATACATGAAAAAACCTGAAATCAGGGATGTTATGTGACTTGCCCAATATCAGTCAGGAGGTGACCTGGCTAGATTTGAATGAGGCCTTTTGGCAGCACTTCAAAGTCTATTTTTCAAATGTACAGAATGCTGCCTCAATTCTGAAAACGGGTATTCAGTGATGGACTGTTTCTGGGTGAAAACAGGTATTCAGGGATGGACTGTTTCTGGGTGAGAATGGGCATTCAGGGATGGGCTGTTTCTGGGTGAAAAGGAGTATTTGGGGAGGGACTCTTTCTGGGTGAGAACGGATATTCGGGGAGGGACTGTTTCTGGGGTACCTCACGGAGTTGTTCCACCAGTTCCTTCTCCTCTCTCATCTGTTCCATTTTCCTCCGAATTGTAAACTGTGGGTCTATAGATTCCAAATTTCTCTGAGGTCTTAGAAACACTGTAATAAAAAGGAAAAAAAAAAAAGCCTTTATTGAGTGCCTACCACAGGTCGCCATATAGGACTACTCGTATGGACGTTAAATCAATAGTTTACCCTCAAATAATGCACTTAGCACTCACAGAAACAAATTCTGACTTCACACGGAAGGCTTGATTTGAATATTCTAAAGATTATATTTTAAACTGTATTGAGTTATGCAGACTAACAACAGTTGTATTTTTGGTGATAATAGACTGAATCCAGGGAAGGGTGTGGATCATCCTTGGACCCATGCCAGGCCACAGCTCTGACAGATGTCCCCTCTCTCATGTTCCTGCTGCTTTCATCTAAGTGTTCATTTATCCTTGGGGTTTCATGATCCTTTCATCAACTCAGATAATTTTATTCAAAGAAGAGGACTAGAATTGCTTTACACGTTAAAAATGAGGACAGGTTAATATTTCTGTTGGCCAAAATTTTTTATAAGCCTGAGTTAAGAACTAGGTGGTGATACACAGGATTACGTAATTTAAGTGTGGAGTGGAAAAACTCTGCCTTCTATCACGTCACTGATACGATATCCAGAAAGTTAGTTCTTTAGAGATGACCATAGACTCCTTTTAGAAAAGCTGGCAAGATTAGAGGCAGTTTAAGAGATCACCCTTGGCTTCGTGTCTTTAAAATTACAACCATCACGAACAGCAACTAACAGCAGAGCTCCCTCTGAAAGGCGGCCAGCCTCGGGCTCCAGAGAAAATGAATACTCTAAACTTCTGAAGGATAACATCTTGTAAAGACTAATAAAGAAGGTACACAATATTCTACATATGGCAGGCTGATTCTAGCAAGGATTTTAATCACTTTTAAGCTTGATTTTTTTTTCTCTCTTGAGATTTTTATCCCATTGAGACTGTCAATTTCCCATTCACACAGGAGGGAGCAAGGTGCTGGTAAGAGCCGTATTTGCCCCTCCTGTCCTATAGACCTTCAGACTGCATGTGGGCTTAGGGGGCGAGGTGGGGTAGGGGAGCCCTCCAGGAAGTTTTGGGCAAAGAACTTCGGTTTTAAAAACCACAACCACAGGGAAGGCTGCATGGGTACTGCAATTCCAGTAATTTTGATCACCATAATATGAATCATGTAAACAAGGGCATGCAACTTTTATTCTGACAAATATTTCCTACAGACCACTTAAAAAGTTACTTCAATTTACTACTTTTTTAAAAAGTTAAATATGGTTTACAAATATACTTAGAATAGAAAAACTTGGGTCCACTCCCTATAATCAATTATTGCATGCTCACCCAACTATGTCATTTTAATCTCAATGTGTACCTTTGGGTGAAACCGCCTTAATAAATGACTTACATGGGGGCACCTAGGTGGCTCAGGCGGTTAAGCATCTGACTCTTGGTTTGGGGCCAGGTCTTAATCTCAGGGTCCTGAGACTGAGCCCTGCACCAGGCTCTGTGCTCAGTGTGGAGTCTGCTTTAGATTCTCTCACTCTCTCCCTCGCCCTCTGCCCCTCCCGCTCATGTGTGCACTCTCTCTCTCAAATAAATAAATAATTAAATAAGGAAATAAATGAAATAAATAAAATGATTTGCATCAAGCTTCTCACATCTCAGTATTTTCTAAGTCAGTTGTAGGATATGTGAATCAGCATTCTGATGCTCTATGGAAGATTAGAAAGTTGTCCTAATAAAACCTTGATTTACAGCAAATGGAGAAAGAGGGAGGTCTACTAGACATAGCACCTTCTGGAACTTCAGGGAGGAGTCAGCCTGGGGCCTGGGCCTCTGCTTCAAGCCATCCAGGGAAGTCACCGGCAAAAAGAGCCAAAGACATGTCACCAAAGGGCTATCACCAAAACCCACAGAAGCCAAACCCACAGGAAATGAGACCGATTATTTAAAAATCAAGGCAAGTCCAGCAAAGCAAGTAGGGTAGCATAACCTGTAGGGAGAGATGAGCAGTTTGCAGAGCAAAGGGAAATAAGGAGAAGGTGGACAAACTAGGAAGCCGGGAAGAAACTGGAAATGCATTAAGCTTGCCTTTGAATCTTATCAAGACCAACAAAAAAAAATCTACCCATTTAACATAACATCCAGAAGAGATATATATTGGAATGTAAAATTTTAGAAATAATCCACACCCCCCAAAAAAGAAGTCAACCAAATTTACCAAAAAAGTCAAGGAATGTAAGCAGAGTTGAGTAATACATACACTAGCCAGCAAGGGGCGCCCCAACATTGTTTAAACAATGCTAATGTTTTCTTTGGAGGTTTTATTTCCCTTTGCCTTTTTTCTAGGGGGCAATCTTATCTAATACAGCATGCTTAATATTTTCAATATGTTTTTATTGGCAGATTTCTTTTGAATACGAAACTATCAGGAAGTTAAATTAACCATGAGCTTTTGTTTAACAGCACACAATTCAAGTATCTACGCCTTGTTAGAACCCTATGTGAGATAAGATAATACAGTGGTGTCTGGGTTTTAATGTCCCAGCATCATTTTTCATCTTAAATTCCCATGCATCTTAAAAATATAAAATGAGTGCTTGGGAATTTGCTCTATGAATGTTAAGCAATCACAAAGTGTTAAACACATTTGAACTGTGTTTTTTTAAATGAATATTTCAAAAGTACCTAAAATTATTGGAAACCATGACTACAATATTACTAGTTTTCTAAGTGGAGTAATTACTGTAGAATATATGAGAAATTAAAACAAACTCTTTAGACTAATAATAACTCTACAGAGGACATACATGTTTGCTTATTTTGCGAGGTCTGTTATAACAGAACCATTTCAATGGGACCATGATGGTAGCTCTGATTCTATTACCTACAGTGTTTTTTCCTTTTCTTTCAAGTCATATTTAAAAAAATATGTATAGTGACCATCCTGACCCAAAGCTTCAGGAAACTGATCTACAGACGAATTACTGTTTTTTCCTTAATTTCATATCACTAAATTTTAAGAACTTCCTTATTTAATTCGGGGGGGGGGGAGTTTAACTTGAGGCTACAAAACAATATTAAGAAGAGCTGCATTGTTAGGACCTGTCTTTCAAATCAAATGCCACCCTATTTAAGTGTAATTAAGAAGCAAAAAAAAAGAGGGCGCCTGGGTGGCTCAGTTGGTTAAGCGACTGCCTTCGGCTCAGGTCATGATCCTGGAGTCCCGGGATCGAGTCCCGCATCGGGCTCCCTGCTCGGCGGGGAGTCTGCTTCTCCCTCTGACCTTCCTCCCTCTCATGCTCTCTGTCTCTCATTCTCTCTGTCTCAAATAAATAAAAAAAATTAAAAAAAAATCTTTAAAAAAAGAATGCTACAAGCAACACTGGTGAATTTCGAAGCCAACGGTGTTGTGCTGCAGGACTAATCAAAACGATCAAGAGGGGGGCGCCTGGGTGGCTCAGTCAAGCGTCTGCCTTCGGCTCAGGTCATGATCCTGGAGTCCTGGGATCGAGTCCCGCATCAGGCTCCCCGCTCAGCAGGGAGTCTGCTTCTCCCTCTGACCTTCCTCCCTCTCATGCTCTCTGTCTCTCATTCTCTCTGTCTCAAATAAATAAATAAAATCTTTAAAAAAAAAAAAAAGAAGGAGAAGAGAGCAGAGGAAGTGTGTGGAGGACTGGGTGTGTGTGTGTGTGTGTGTGTGTGTGTGTGGAGGAACAGACAAAAAAGTGGGTGATTTAAGGGTGATTAAAGATGCAGGAAAAATTAGTCATGCTTAATTGTTTAATTACTATGTATCTAATAAATAACATTCAAAGAATGGAAAAGATGATTTGCTCCTGTTTGTAATTTATTTAGCAGAAGAGACAAATCTCTAAGCAAAGCCCCTGCAAGGAATGATGAATATGTTTGTGCAGAATGTCAAATTCATCTTTTTAGGTACAGGTCAAATTCCACTGATTTTTCCATTATCTCTGCTACTTCTTTCACTTTTCTCCTCATCCTCATCCCCAACCTGGGAGTGATCTATCAACATACAGAATTCTTTATCTGTGTCTCTCTCATGGTACTCATCACTTTCTCTCTTGCAGTCTACATCTGTTCCTCTCCATTATGACTCTGTAAGAGTTTATGTCTGTTTCCAATTTGTATGTCTCCTCCTGCCCCATAAAGCTGTTTGATGGATGAAAAAAATGAAACAAGTGTTTCAAAAATTCCCTCATTCAAAGATCAGTCTATTTGGAGAGTATCTTTGTAGAGATTATCCTACCCTGATAATCAGTCACCTCAGTTTTTCCTGTCATGAAAAATCTACTGAAGCTTGGTTTCCAGGTCTGAATTCATTTGACTCTGAAGTAAAAGTTCTATAGAAGCAGATATCTTGTTTGTCTTTTGCAGAGTCATATCCATAATAACAAACCTCATGCCCAGCACAAAGTAGACAACAGACATTTAAGAATGTGCACAAGAAACCATTTCTCTATTTGTTTAAGAATATCTTTTTTTTTTTTTTTTAAGATTTTATTTATTTATTTGACAGAGACAGAGACAGCGAGAGCAGGAACACAAGCAGGGGGAGTGGGAGAGGGAGAAGCAGGCTTCCTGCTGAGCCGGGAGCCCGATGTGGGACTCGATCCCAGGACCCTGGGAACATGACCTGAGCCGAAGGCAGTCGCTTAACCAACTGAGCCACCCAGGCGCCCCAAGAATATCTTTTTAAAAAAAAAGATTTATTTATATATTTGAGAGAGAGAGCGTGGGGGGAGGGGCAGAGGGAAAGGGAGAGAAATCCTCAAGCAGACTCCTCGCTGAGCGTGGAGCCCAACACAGGGCTCAATTCCAGGACCCTGAGATCATGACCTGAGCTGAAATCACCCCAAGAATATCTTTTAGTTAAATCAAGAAATCCCACTGCTCTAAAAATTGCCTGAAATGCTTATTTAATTATTAGGTGAAATGCACTCCTGGTATAAAATTTATCAGTCTATATTATTAACCTTTATTACCTAAATTTAACTCAGTGAGAGATTTCTTCTCCATGGACGTATGGGGTTTTGAAATTTAGCTCTCAGTTTCTCCTTGGAAGTTAAGAACCTGGACTGGGTGTGATATTTAAGATATACAAATTCAAGGGCAGCAAAATAAAATGGCTTTGAAAAAAATACCAGGGGCTTTAGATCCTGGCTAATGTGAATTAGAAATCTGATTAATGCATTCATTTATTCCCTTCTGGTGCCCCAAAATGAATTAGATACATTCTCTCTCTGCCCTCAAAATGCTCATATTTCCTCTCTATAATTTTGGGCAATTTATTCTAACCTAGTGACTTTGACCTACTTGAATATAATATAAAAATCAGTAAAAAAGTAATCAATGTGTAGAGTCCATGTGACACCAAATAAATTAGCACCTCTGAATGTGGAGCTAGGCAGCTACAGTCTTAAAAACACTCAAATGATTCTAATATAGAGCTAGGGCTCAGAATTGCTGAAATGCCTCTCATGGCCTATGTCCTCATTTTTGTATGGGGAAAATAATACATAGAAGTGCAAGATTATTGCAAAACTTAGAAAACGTCTGTAAATTGGCCTAAGATGGATGGATATGTCCATTCATTCACTCTCTAGTGATAATTCAATGGCCAATTTTAAATAAGTATAAATTAGCACCCACGAACTAACTGCAAATGAAAAGGGACAATGATTCAAAAGAAGATAGGAACAACAAAAAAGGGGGAGAAAAAGAAGACAGGAACAGTTTTCACTTCAAAGTGAAGGGGAAAGGCAGGAAAGAGGCAGAGTAGTAATAGGGCACAAGAGCAAAAGAAAGAGAAGAAATTGTTCCTAAGTTAAGAACCAGATGAAGTGAAGCTGCCCCACCCAGCGCCAGGAGTGACCCACAGCCCTGCACACACCCTCCCCATCCTCTCCATCCTCCTCATCCTCCCCATCCTCATCCTCATCCTCCCATCCTCCTCATCCTCCCATCCTCCACATCCTCCACATCCTCCCCATCCGTCTCAAGGGGCAGAACTCCGGTGACTGCGGGAATGCAAACTTCCAAGGACCTTCTAGCCACTTTGCCATTTTTTATTACTTTGAAGAAAAAGTTTTAGAAAAAGATGGGGAATTCAAAATGAGACATATTTGAGAAGAAATACTGAAAAGAATTTAATTAAAGGGGAATTTTAGTATAAAGCAAGACAGTGAACAAGGTCTAAAAATGCCAACTTTACCCAAAACTAAAAAAAATATAAATGAAAGACAAACTGCATTACACACCGGGTTGAGTTGGGGATAAGATGCCGTTTCTTTACAAAGGTTGAGACAGGTACAGATAATGGAGACCAGGAATAGGGGGAAACAAAACTGATGTGCTAATCAGCTTGGAAATGCCAAGAATGGCCACTGGACAGGATCTCCTACTTAAGAGGAATGAGTAAGAACAACATAAAATCGAGGCTGTATTTCTCTTGCAAGATTAATTTGTACGCTTGTGAATACGTATAGTGCAGCTTCATTAATTTAAAAAATGCTTTGGAAAATATATCGAAATCACAAGGCCAAGTGTAGCACAAAGAGAATGAAGAAGCATGTGAAAAGTCAGATCTGGGAACCTGCACAAGTATTTATTTGTAAAAACAATTTCTGCATAGAAAATTTTCTGTTGCCCACAACACCTTCTAGACAAACTGCAAATAGGGATGAATGACAACCACCCATTACCTGATGTGACTGATGGAACCACATCAATATTGAGAGTAATTCTTTTATTATGACTGTGGTACAGCTTGATAGCTACACATGAATCTCTGGAATTTGCACTCGTACAAAAAAATACCAAGTAAAGAGTGCAAGGTTATTTTATTTTCAGAGAGATTTCTACAATTATTAATTTCTATGGATATCTTAGGATTTTTAATAAAAAGAAGGCAGTCTGGCTTATGGCTTGCACTGAGAGTCCTCAATAAACAGCTGCCGAGTGAGTATGGAGATGGTGCAGGGCTAGGACCCTGGGTGGCCTCACCTCCATCACGACATAACGGTGTGACCTCACCTTTCTGGTTTTAGCTGGCGCATCTATACAGATAGAAATTCTGCTACATAACATGACTAGATCTTGCCCAGCTTAAACAAACAAACAAACAAAAAAAAGTCCTTTGGTTTCAGATATCACTCCTAGGGAAATACCAAATCACACATAAATCTTTCATTTTAGGCTTGATTTCCTTTAAACAACAGCAGACCCATAAATAGCCATGCTTTCTGAAAAACAAAAATGCCTCTCCTCCTCTTTTTTTATTTTTGAGTAAAGGAACAGTTTCTCAAGAAAGTTTCCACTGAGCCCTCTTCAACTTCCAGATTTTAAAATAGGGATGGTATAAGGAGGGACTTTTGTCTCATTGCTGTTGTTGTTGAAGCATACTTATTTTCAGTTAAAAAAATTTAGAAATCTATGAAATAGTAAAACCCTTTTTACAACTAACCTGCCAAAATATACATGTATCCTTCATAAGGAAACTGGAAAACTTTTTTTATTGAATTTTGACCAGAAATCACAGCAGATGTTTTAAATATATTTTTTCTGTATAACATACTTCAATTAAAAAATAACTATGATCGGAAAATTTATTTTCTTATTGTGCTTGCATTTTGGTTATACCTCATATCTTACTTCTCTTCCCTATAAATCATGCTATTTCATTTAACATTACTTTTGTCACTTTGTATCTTAGAATAAAATGTTTAAAATCTTAACTAACATTAGGCTAAATGGAGATTCTGATCTATGTGGCATGTAGGTCTAGATAACTATTTTTTGTTTTCATCTTTTAGGCTATTTAAGCTATTTAATGGCACAAAACTAAAAGATATTCATAATAATCCAACGAGCTGTCTTCAATTTTTTATTGGCACATTTGATTTTCAGGCCAATTTGAATATCATATAGGTGAACAGACACTCGAAAAGGCAGAAGGTATCAAAAGTTAAAATGTGCAAATAACAAAAAAAAAAAGAAGGCAAGTGATTTCTCTTCATTTTTAGAAATTTCTCAATGTTAACATTATTTTTAGTGCACCACTCAGCGATCAGCCATGGTATTAATTACCTTAAAAATCTCATACGGTTAAGCATAGATAATAAAAGATCAAACTGTATAGGCACTTTGGTGCAGATGCAGGAGCAAGCAGAGACACTCCAAATGTGCAACCCCCAATTTTTGTAAACAAGCAAACAAAAAACAAAACAACAACAACAACAAAAAAAACCCAAGCGGAAAAGGTAGAGAAAGAAATTATTGTAAAGTCCTCCCGAAATTCAGAACTTTCAAGTTAATTAAATGTAGTTCGACAAACTGCTAGAGAACAATCCCCATGCACTTTCTGGACTTTGTTTTCCAGCTTTTCTCATTGGTGCTTAGAGCAGGCATGCAGGTGCATATACTCTATCCTCAGCTGCACAGAAATGAACGATCAGTATATTCATTGGCTTATTAATGAGCACATTGAAGAACAGGTACAAGGCCACCTACCATTGTCACTGTCTCCTTCAGATGGAACACTGTAGCTAGAGCTGTCCCATGTTTGTGCCTGTGTAAGTTTGTTGAAGGAGATAGGAGGAAGAGTGAGGGCTGGGTCTGCAGGAGAGCAAGAGAGCCGGTCCGCGTACAGTTGGACAAGGACCAGGAAAAACCAAAGGGGCAGCAGCATTTCACAAATGGCATAAGGTTTGTATGGAAATGAAGCGAATTTCATATTATGGGATTTAAATTCAAATGTACAATATAGGAGAAGAATGAAAGATGGCGCATGAAATAAAAAGAATGATAAAAACCGAGTGTTAGTACTTATCAATCATATACTTTGCATGCAGTTAATATCGTTAATCTTAACAGTTCTGCAAGCCCACAGACTCAGAGTCCTAATGAATCATGTCAGCAGAAAGGAAGAGTACCCACAGATAACATAGATACAAAGCAGAAGACCTACCAGACACCTTTTCAAAAACCTTCTAAATAACTAACAATCGTAGCAAATACAATTCACACAAAAAATTTGGTTACACAGACAAAGCTTAACATGTGTAAATATATCTATTATTTAGAAATGAGACTATTACAGAATCAGTGTTTACCATGTGTCAATTTTTCTCCAAGGCAATGTAAAATTTCTCTTTAAAGGCTACTGGCATGCTTTATTGATAGGCCAACTCTCTGCTCAACCCTGGACACACACACCCCTCAATACTGTCTTGGTACTGATCAGCAGAAAAACATTTTTTGACACTAGCAGAGTCTCTTTAACAACAAACCTCATTCACCAATAGAAGTCAATCAATTTCAAGCACTTCTGAGTTAGGAATGAATATTTGAGTATATACAGTTGTCTCTCTTTGGAGGAAAACACAGAAGAGAAAAAAAATTTCTTTTGAAGAAAACTATCAGCCTACTTAAGAATCTAAGTTCCTATTCCAACTTGCTGATTTGAGCAGTCTATTTTTATTTATAACACAGAAATCACATAAATCCATATCCTTAACTTTAAAAGAAAAGTTAATTGGCTTTCAAAAGTTCCAAAGCTACTCAATCAAATAGAACCTCTTTTTAAATCATATCATCTTCAATTAAGATTGCTATATACATTATTTTTTAGAAAATGTGAAAAATACATACTGTAATATGTTTAAATTACTAAATAAAATGAAAAAATCCCTAATATATAATACAGTTTTATAAAATTCCAACATGCCACTTGATGTTCCTGAAGATAAATCAGCATTATTTACAGCAACCAAACTCCACAAAGCTTTCAACGGCTAGAACAATTTCCACGGTCAGCATTATAGAAAGGTTGGAAGCTTGGAGAGGAAATTATCTTTGTTTTCTGCTATTCAAAATAAATACCCCATTTCTTTTTCCACCACTACAGTGAATTTTAAATGGTTGAATAGTACAATAGTGATAAGTCGAGTTTGGACTCCATAAAAGAGAGAAAAAAAAATCATTGAGACAATTTTACAACTAAATTGTAAAGATGCACATTCAAAAGAATATTGGTCTTTGGGGATTCATTCAACTTTTGATTGCTCAATTATGAAATATATTTAAAATTCCTTAAAACTACCTGTAAGGATTAGAAGCAAGTCTGTAGCCCAATCTGAGGTCCTGAATGCATAGAGATAACTCTCCTGGAAGGCCGTCACTGAAGGCATGGAGGAGAGGTGCCCACCTGATCATGTCTCCCAGTACACACCTGAGACCCCAGGGAAATGGAAGCCCAGCCCAGATCTGACTGCATACGCTCACTGCCATAAATGAGGAGGCCAGTCATTTGAGCCTTATTTCATGCACAATTTGGCTTTCCATAACACACCTACTACTAACCTTTGCCATGCCCCAGCATTTTCTCAAATAGCTTTGCCTTATAGCCCATCCAGAATGCCAGGAAACCATTACACCTGGCTACATGTTACCCATCAATCAACTTGTTCCCCAAACGAAAAAGTTTCCTTCATACAGGAATTATATTTGTTTTTTTATGGGTACCTGTTTACAAAATATACACACATATAACTTCTGTTTGCCAAAATGCTTTACTGAAAAACCCAGGAACATCTAAGTTCTTTACTAGCTTTTTACTTAAATGTGTCTGAATCCTTTCTTAGCAGTTACTTAAAAGCATTATAGTCACGACTGTATGCAAAGATCCAAAAGTATTAAAATAAAAAAGGACTAAAAGAAGGTAGATAGTGCTAGAACTTCAGTGGAGAAATCAGAAGAACCGAATTTTTCTATGCATCATCGTCCTTCTTTTTAAAACCAATAGTTATTTTGCACATTGCTGTAATTTACATCTGTGAATACACTAACAATAAATTAAAAGAAAGTAGGTAAAATAAGCAGAAAGGCTCTTTTAAAGAAATGACTCCTGGCCATTCATGTGAGCCTTGAAATGATCACCTTGTTGCAGGAGGAAATGCATAACCTTACACGGGTTAGAAAGCCAACAAAGGATATTTTAGAGGAGTCACCTTGTCAGAGGCTGCTCTTTAGCTCAGCACCTTACTAGGAACCACTGGGGCAAAGCACTAGCTATTTTATCTTCCCTGGGTAAAACACTCTTTAGAATATTTCTTCCCCACTAACATGCCCCATCACCTTTTCTCTTTGCTCGGATTGGAAAGGAGGTACGATATCTACTACTGTTAACATGGACATAACAGGTGATTCACTGAGAACAAGGCTCCAAAGGCTGGCCTCCCCAAGCTGCAGCTCTGAGGCTAGGACTCAATGTTCACCAGAGTGCGTTCACAAGGCTGCTCACGCTAACACATACACATTTAAGAGGCTAAAGGGAAACCACTGAGTGTTTAGAAGTGTCAGGACGCTGAGGTTTTAATTTACCTGATCGAGGCTTGAGGCCAAATGGAGTTGTGCTGTTGGTGGTGGGAGAGATTGCAGGCGAGTTCGCTCTCATCTGCAGTATTGGAAGGAAAGGGTGTTTTTTTTTTTAAAAAAAACAAACAACTAAAGCAGAACTACACATGCTTCTCTATGTTCCAGGATTATAATTACACCACTACCTTTTTGATTTGCTGCGTGTGATGAAGACCTGACTAAAAAAATATGACGGATGCATCTTCGCATTGCAAATGGTTGAAGCGGCATCATCAATAGAATGTTGTCTGAGGGGAGAGCCAGTCAATTTTCATTTGCGCAACAAAAAATATTCTATAATCATGTGACACTGGCAATCTTTTCTGCTCCAGAATAGATGTGTGCATGGGTACACACACTCAGGCACACACTCACATCCCCCTCACAGGGGGCACAGCTGATGAAGAATGTCATGACACAATAAGAGAGGAGAACAGGTCACACTGGACAGAGTCTCATCTATAGGGAAACCACCCACTGCTCCACTGATGGGTAACAGGACATTCGAAATGCTGCCTATTGGAGCCATCACTCTGTCTTCTGTAAAGACGCTGCCATATTTGGTTTTCAAAATACATCTTAAAAAACTAATCTTTCATTATGGATAGGGCCAGATAAGACCACGATAGCTAATGAGAGAGACTCCCCCACAGAATCTGCAATACAATTAACTTATGAATCATGACAGTCTCAGATTATGTATTTCTGTAAAAGGTATTCCAATTCAGCCTTCACAAACTACCTCGTCTTACAGTAATCTTCAGAGAACTTACCTCATTTGGAGAATACTCGCTCCCATTGCTCTGTGATGTGAGATCATTTTGCACCTTAAAGAAAAAAATGCATGGTATATTCCATTAGACCATAAAATTATTGAGGCAAGAACTGCGTCCTTCTGACTTCCCTCATATCCCTGGCACCTGGGCACTCAATGAATATACACTGAATTAATTAATTAGTGTGTTAAATAGCTAAATAGGTCATACTGACATTTGCTAAAAACATGCAGCCGTACTCACACACACAAAAAAAATACATCTAAAATATCACACAAACTAAGAAAAGGGATCTCCCAGGGCAAAGAGCTCAGTCCAAAGTACCTTTAAACATAACCTGCCTTGCTCGATGACCAAGCCACATACAGGCTCCCACTCCTCATTTGAACTACAGGTCTTTAGAAATGGTCCAAGGCAGTATTTCCCAAATACACAGAATCTCACTGGGAGCTTTTATTTTTTTAAGATTTTATTTATTTATTTATTTTAGAGAGAGGGGAGAGAGAGAGAGCTGTGTGTGAGCAGGGGGAGGGGCAGAGGGGGTGGGAGGGAGAGAATCTTGAGCAGACTCCAAGCTGAGCACAGAGCCCGATGGGGGTGGGGCTCGATCTCAGGACCCTAAGATCATGACCTGAGCTGAAATGAAGAGTTGATGGCTTACCCGACTGAGCCACCCAGGTGCCCCTCATTGGGAGCTTTTAATAAATATACATGCCTACACTCCAAATTACCCGAGACAATCTTGTTATCAATTCGATGCCAGTTTGCTTGGGCAACCAATGAGGAAACTCTAGATTATTTTACTCAGATCAGCCTTCTTTATATGGTCATCAAGGAACCCACTGATTACCCTAAAAAAAAACCTGGTGATAGCTAACATAAACATCTTCATTTATAGTACACCAAATTTGTATAAATTTAAGATGGCTATTCCTATTCCTATTGTTGAGGAGTGCTATTTAAAAAATACTCCAAACTTCGACACATCCAAAGGAAAAACATATTTTTAGAATAAAATGTCTTTAATTTCCCTACTCAATTAAATGGCTTTGTTAGAAATACTAACAAGTACCTGCAGGTTTGAGTCTCTCTATGAGCTATTCCTTCCTCCAACACTGTCCCCAATTTGATATTATTTATGAAGGAGACTATAATTTGCAATTCTTCCTGAATAGATGCCAGTGCTACCCAAACTTGATACCATCATCTCAACTATGTTTAAAGTCAGACAATGTGATGTAAAAACCCCTTGGCAATCTCGGCCCTACCTGTTGAACTGGGTAGGGCCACAGTTCACACCCCTCCTCGGTGTTCTGCCTGGCTCACACACTGTGCTGATTCCGCCAGGGCTGCGTGCTGGGACCCATCCAAATCCAAACAACCCCCAAAATCTACGTTTACTTCCCTCTCTCTTTAAACTCTACCTCTTCCCCAGTCTCCCAGAGCACCTAAAATACTCAGAATTACAGACCATCTCAAATTCTTTAAATTTTTTCAATATCCAAGTCTTCTTCCCTCCACATTTTTTTTTAAACATTTATTTATTCATTTGAGAGAGCGAGAATGAGAGAGAGAGAGAGTACACGAGAGGGGGGAGGGTCAGAGGGAGAAGCAGGCTCCTCGCTGAGCAGGGAGCCCAATGCGGGACTCGATCCAGGGACTCCAGGATCACGACCTGAGCCGAAGGCAGTCACCCAACCAACCAAGCCACCCAGGCGCCCCTTCCCTCCACATTTTTTAAAACCTCTTAAAAGGAGGACAACTTCATATCCTTAATAGCCCAATCCTTGACACCCAAAACAAAACCAAATCCAGCGTAAGTACTCCACAAACACTGGCTAATTGATTCAAGACTTATGCTAAGGTTATTGCTTTCCTCCAGAATGAGATAGAAAATATAAAAATAACCAAATCATAAATGAGGACCACATTTAAATTCTGCATAATCATTAGCACTGGCCTAGCTAATCCACTACTTTCTCTTCCTCCTCCCTGTGCCTTCCAGAGCCCACTATCGGATCCCTCCTTTTCAAAATCATTGAGATGTGCCTGTCATGGACAGATGAATGCCCTAGAGAAGGAAGACAATGAGTAAGAATTTCTTACACCAAATAGGAGTCCTCATTCAACCAAAAAGAAAAAACTAACTTATATTAATACAAAACGTTATAAATCAGAGATGGGAGTGGAGGTATCTTTTTTTAGAGGACTTGTGTCTTAAACTGGTACTCCTGAATCATGCACCCAGGTGGACATCTGTTTTACTAGCATCAAAAGTGCATCTGCAGCAGGACCCTAACCAGTTATAAAGTACCTCTTCACTGACTGCTTATCAGTTGCAATGGAAAAACAGAACAATAAATTACACAGTGGACAAATCAAGTTACACAACAAATGGGCAATCAAATTAACATCACCAATCAGGCCCATCTAGACACGGGTAATATCCTGAGATGGACATAATACCACCTGTGCAGTGTTCTGATCAAGCACACAGAATCCAAATCTAATCATGAGGAAATATGAGGGACTTTTGTCTCACAAAATAAGTGGCACACCATTAAAAAAGAGGAGAGCTACGTTCTTCAAAATTTGAAGGTTGTAAAAACCAAAGAAAGGTTACAGAAATGTTCCAGAGTAAGGGAAACTCCAAACACCTCCTCCTAACTAGATACACTCCCTGCCAGTGTTCCTACATGGGAGTAGAAAAAAAAAAAAATCTGAAGAACATCATTAGATCAACTGAACAGTTTGGAATATGAATAGTAGATGAGATTAAAACAGTTTATCAATGTAAATTTCTGAATTTGATAACCGAAATGTAGTTATGTGAAGTAAAACCTCTATTCTTAGAACACATACAGTGAAATATTTAGGGGAAAAAGGACTGTGATATATGAAACCCTCAAATGCTTCAGAAAAAGAACCGTGTGTGGAGAAAGAGAGAAAGAGAAGAAACAATATGACAAATGTGGTAAAACAATAATAGGTCACTCTGGTAAAAGGACGCAATTTTTGTAACCTTTTGTAGAATCTTGTAATTTTCCCCCACATTTTTATGAATTTAAAATTATTTCCAAATAAGCTTAAAAAAAAAAGTGGGTCAACTATAATCAATCAATAATAAAATAGTGGGCCTGCACAGAATCACAAGGAGCCTGTCTCAAAGGAGAGCCTGAGGGAATGGGCCGGGGGCAGCCTTCACACAAAAGGCTTCCTGATGTTCCAGGACTGGGTAATTCAGTAATGCCTCCACCAGGGAAGACACGGTGCAGTAATTTTGTCTGAGGACCCCACCAATAATGATAATAGAATGGTAAAGTGAGAGTCATAGCTAACGTCTAGGTATCCTGGGTTGTGAGACTGGTCCCAATTTACAGAAAATGAAGGTGAAGTTTAGAGAGGTTGCCCATAGTTAGCAAGTCTTTGAGGTGGGATTAAAACTCAACATAATTCTAAGTCATGGCGCTCAACAAGGAAACCAGAGTGGTCTTATTTAACAGAGACTTAGCCAGTTAAGAGTGTAAAACTGCTTCACTACACTTCACATGCTCAAACACCTCAGGGACATAAATTGGTGTGTCCCGAAGTTAGCCACCCAAACCCACTCACTACGGTGGGATGAATTAGGGTGTCACCCAGATGTCACTCCCAAGTCACCAGCTCAAACCTATTTTTAGGACTGTTTCTCTGGGACCTTCTAGGCTCATCTCTAGTTTTACATCAAAACTGCTTTCGACAGCCACCCAATTTCCACCCAGCATAACTCCACCCTTACTCTGTCCCCACATAACCCCACCAGGTCTCTCTGCTAAAGTTCTCCTAATCCTCCCAGGCACTTCCCAAATCATTTGTTCTTGCCTCTCAAGTCTTTTCTAGTTTTTTTTCCACCTGGCCACTCCCTAGGCTTTGTTCTTGGCTCTAAAATCTACACTGAGTGGTCCTACCTCTTTCTGATGCAGCAGGTTCCCTCGCTATCTTAGTTACTACTGCCTGGCTCAGCAGAACTATCTGACCCCCCAAATTCAGAGAATTTAATGGGAAGAGCCAACTCTCATCTTTAATGGAAGATGAAGTAAAATAGATATGCAGGAAAACTAAGTAAGGTAAAAGTATAAAAAATGTGAAAAACAGACCGTGAACAAAACTGAATACTAGTCTACTAATGAATGTTCTACCCTACGATCAATCTTTTATAGACTATGGTAGCCACTATTCCGTGGTAGAATACCGCACAGAGCTCTGGTTAATCCAAGAGCGGCCTTACCTCACACACCGGAGAGGTCTCCAGCTGTATTTGACCACTGTAGGAATAAAGAAAAGAAAAGGACATAAAGTGGAATTTAAAGCATACATATTTCAATGTAGAAAGAGAAAATATATTCAGTTACAAGAAGGTCAACATACTTTAGTGCAGAATCTTGTAAGTCTAAGGCTTCTGCTGATTCCACAGGATAAAAGTTCACAACATTTCTCTCTGTAATATCAGTGTTTAATCTAAAGAGGAGGGGAAAGAAGATGTTAGCAAATTTATTAAACTTTTTATATGTTCTATGACTTTAATAAATCCAATGCTTTGGGTCATATTTAGTTTATAATTTTAATATATTAAAAAGTTATGTTTATCATTTGGTTAAGTAATAAAAAATTTACGGTAGAAATTTCAAATCACATGATATTTTCCCACTCTGTGCCAAATTTTATATAATTTTAATTTAATTTTCTATCTGCTATTGGTATTGAAATCCAACTTACTTGCAATATAACAGTAATTTCTGCTAAAGTCATAATATTCATAGATAGCACACACTAAATCCTATTCTAGAACTTGATTGATTTATAGAAGCAAATAAAATTGCTAAGAGTACTATATTATTTTATATGTACCAAGGGCATTTTGCTTTAATAGGAAGATATCTCTGATATACATGAATATTCTCACTTTAAAAATTAAAATTCATAAGCAATTTGATGTGCAATTTTATTTGTGAAATTGTCTTACAGATATTTTCTGAATTTCTGGCAATTTCAAGAGTTGAGTTCTCTTTAAGATCTGTAAAACCAGGAATTGCTGTAAGTCATATAAAAGTTACAAGGCTATCTTCAAAGGTAGGGATGAGTCACATTATATGTGCTTATTGAAAATGCTATCAAACCAATAATCAGAAATACTTAAGAAAAGAAACCAAGATAAAGGCAAAATACGGTACCAATATTCAGCTAGCTTTTCTGATGTTAAGGTTGTATGCAAGGTAAACCTCTAAAACTTAATCCTATAATCAGTGGCTTAACTCAAACAACAAAAAGTTTGGATCTATGAAATATGAGATAAAGGAAAAACCCTGTATGTATGTAAAGTTTTTATTATTAATATTCAGTCCCAAGCAGCTAGAAATAAGTGACCCCCTGAAGTGCCCTCTCTTTTTAGAAACACACACAGGACTCTTTTTATATTACTATTATACTGATTCACAGAATATTATATATTAGAACTGTCCTTTTGTGATAATTATTTCAGGATGAACAACAAAGACCTAAAGCAGCCAAAGGTCTTGTGGATAATTTAAAGGGTGGAAATGAAATCCATATAAAGTTTTACAACATAATGCATTTTAAAATAGCACTCCATAAAGATGTAAATCAATTAGCTCTTGGAAAGTTACTCAGGGCTGTGTTCTTCCACAACTCAGGCACACACCCATCATTCTGACTTGCTCAACATTCTTGGCAACTCATTGCCTCAAACATTTCCAAGCTACAGAGGATTGAATCCTGAGGTTCCCAGTTCATCCCACTTCTCATGAAGGAAGGCAAAACAAAGAAAGGCTCAGGGCTGGGAACCCTCCTCCAGGTCAGTAGGATTTGTGCTACCGGGCTCCAATCCCACATTCCCAAGCCACTTTTATTGGTGGACAAAGTAGGCTGTTGTTTTTCACTTCGGGGTTCACGTATTAATCAATCTCGAATTTGTAAGAAAAGTGTATTGGAGGAGTGATACAAAATGTAAAAGGTGGAAGTATTAAAACAGTATGAAGTTTGAGCCCAACTGGGACTGTCTCTCTGTCACATCATGTCTTCAAGGCTCGTTCCTGGACTCACGCTCCCTTCCCATCGATACGTTTGGCCTTGGAAACCTCATCCTCCTTAGATAGCTCTGTTACTGCAGCACAGTGTGAAAATGACTTTCAAACCTAAGTCTCGAAGCCCCAGAACTGAACACCTAGCCGCAGAGTGGACGTTGCCACCTTGGATTTTACTCAGTGTGTCCTATGCTGACCCCAACGTCCTCCCTTCAAACCTGCTGTCCCTCTGGGTTCCCCATCTCCGATAATGAGAAGGGGCTCAGATCTAAACACTGTTCCTTCCCACTGTTCTCACCACCCACTTCAAATGATCACCCAAAGAACTACAACGGTACCTACCACTGCGTATCTCTAATTTATATAATCTAAAGAAAAATATGAACTTAGAAATACCTACGGAAGAACATCCATTGTAATATATTTCCTTCCAGTTTTAATTTTTTCTAGGTTTCTGACACGATTGAGACCTAATTCTGTCTGTATAATTGGGATCAAACCTTTGTATTTTATATACTTTTTAAAGTGAACATTATAAAATGAGCATTCTAAAATATATTGGAAACTTTAAAAAAAAACCATTGTATCAGACCCATTATTATAGTCCATCTTATTAATACTTATATTTAAGTATCTCCAAACTACTGGATTATTTCCCTTTTCCCAAATATTTGCTATAAAACACCTTCCCCATCACAATCTTTGTTCTTATCTCTTTGTCCCTCAGGATAAATTTTTAGAATTTATTTGAAAAGTTTATATATTTCACAGGCTATAGCCACATACTACTAGGATGTCTTCTAGAATGGTTTTGCCAATTTACTTTCCTACTAACAGTTTAGATATTATTTCAAAACCTCACCATCCTAAAAAGTAAATATTTGGATCTCATCTTACAGATGAGGAAACTGGCGTGCAGAATAGTTCTATCTTACCCAGATCAACGGTGTTGGCGCTGAGTTCAGAACCAGCAGCCGGCGGATCCCAAGTCTGTTCTTCTCACCGGACAGGCTGCTTCCCCATTCTTTATAATTTCACACAAATGCACACAATACACACACACTCTCTCTTGTCCCTGCTTCTTCTCACTGACTCCCCTGGTTTAGGATGTGAAACTCAGCCCTTGCAGGAATACACCTTGATTAGGCATTCACTAATAAGCCAAGCTCTGAGCCAAACATGAGGGAGAATTGGCAACATAAATAATCCTATTTTTAAGCCACCACTACCTCCCTCTACATACAGAATAAAGTCTGGGCTCCTCAACACAGCATTCGAAGGCATCCTCAGCACCACCCCGCTACCCCTCTGCGGGGTCTCAGTCCCGGCTATGCATTAGAAGCGCTGGCAGTACTTTTGAAAAGTGGAAATGGCCAGCCCCCAGCCTCACAGGTGGAGTCGGGGTACCTGTGTTTCGAACGTTCCACAGCGAAGGGAGAGATCATCTCTGCCTGAACCGTGCCAAGCCCGCTCCACTCCCTGTGACTCCCTGCCTTTGCCTAAGCCTTTAATTCAATCCAGAACTTGCTTTCTCCTTGAAAGGGCCAGTTATTAAAGGCCCAGATGAACGATCCGAGGCTTCACAGGCGCCAGCCCAACCACCTCCCTGTTTCCATCTGTGGCCAGGCATTTACTTAAAACACTTAAATCCATTCCACTTACAAATATCTACTCAAGGCAATCTCTACCACAGTTTAAGTTCTTAGAAGGCAAGGGCTGTGTCTTGTTCATCTTCATATCCCCCCGAGGTGCACTCGGTAGATCTTCCCACGCTCTAAGCACTCAATTAATGTCTGCAGAACCGAAATGCTTTTCAAATCAATTGCTGAAGATTTCCAACCAAACTGACCCGTCACTCTTCTTTTAGGGCCAGCCGACGTTGGCGGTGACCCATCCACTGGCACTCTGGGACGCACTAACCACCATTGTCATAAATTCCCAAAATGTGGTGTGGTTTCCATGTTCACCATATTACAAGACCACATCATCTTCATATTTAAATCTCCAGGACCCCTAAACAGTTTACCAGGAATAAGCTTGGGGTATATTTCTCTAGTGCTAAAGTAGTTAGGACCTGACACTGGGTATACTGTTTTACTGAAAAACATTTTGTCCATGGGAATTCCATTATCCTTTGCAAAGAAACCAAAAAATAGATCTCCTGCATATAGTGCCTATTATTGACAATGACCACTTCAATTAAAAAAATTATCTTGTGACCCAAATCTTTAGAAATATATTATTTAGTTAACATATATTTAGCTTCTCAGAAACAAATATGATCGTATCGCATAAAACAAATCTTTCTTTTTTGGAAAATATCCCCGATATTTCTCTAAGTCAGGAGTTAAATCTTAAGCAATATCAAATCTGTACTTCTATCATATTTCTGTTTTCTAAGAATTATACCAAAAATCCCCATATGAATGTCATGAAGGGTAAGTAAATTTCATTAAGGAGTAGCAAAAGGAGGAAATGATCTCAATCTCTCCAGAACTGTGACTCTTACTTATGGCTCTTGTGAGAAATTCTCTTTTTTTGGTGGCTAGACTGAACCCAAGCGGTGCGTACAAATATTTTTAAAGGTGAGATAACATACTCAATAAATTAGTACACATTATTCACACATGAACCCTGGGCCAAGGAAAGACACGCATACCTGTTGGGATCTTGCAGCAAATCTACTGCTTCTCTCAGTTGGTCAATCATCACTATATCCATGTCCTGGTCTTTGGATGAACTTATTCTGTAGCATGAACCGGGCATAAGAATGAAAATGATTACTGGAACGTGGATATTATCCAGATTCTTAAGAGCAAACGTATAAAAATCCATCTAATATATAAAAATGATTTTGACAAGCTCAACATGATAATGAACAGGTGTCAGTTCCCTGCGGAGTGGATTGCCAGAGGGCAGCTGAGGTGGGGCTACTGGGGGGGGAAGCCCAGCTCTGCTATAAAATAGCAGCTCACACAAAGTCTCGATGCCCACGGGTTTGCATCTGCTCCTCTATAAAATCAAGGCAACGGACGGGCTGGGTGGTTCTCACACTGTGCTTTCATGAGCCCGGGGGCGGGGTGGGGGTGGGGGTTGCACAGGGGTGCCCAGCTGCAGCAGGTCTGCACGACTTCTGGCTCTTCCCGCTCCAGAGCAACCAATGTGGCTCGGTTTTATTGCTTTCATACAATATGGGACTTCACTGGGGGATAGCGGTTCTCAGTGCAGGTTCTTTATGCAGCAAAATCATCTGTGGCTCTTAAAATAAAAAATGCCAAGCCAGATACTGGGGCTTGGGCTTTTTATTAAGCTCTACAGGCAAGGTTGAGAACAACAGGTATAAGATTATGAATGGGGTTTCCAAAGCTTTATAGACAGATGGCCCTTGAACGACACAGGCTCAAATTGCATGGGTCCACTTATACACAGGTTTTTTTTGTTTTTTTGTTTTTTTCAATAAATATATTGGAAAATTTTTTAGAGATTTGTAACAATTTGAAAAAATTCACAGATGAACTGCATAGCCTAGAAGTACTGAAAAAGTCAGGGGAAAATCAGTTATTATTATAAGAATATAGTATATAATACACATACAAAATATGTTAATTGACTGTTTATGTTATTGGTAAGTCTTCTGGTCAACAGTAGGTTATTAGTAGTTAAGTTTGGGGGGATTGAAAATTATAGGCAGATTTCTGACTGCGCCCAACCCCTGCATTGTTCAAGGGTCAGCTATAGTTTAAAAAAACACTCTCCCTGGGCGCCTGGGTGACTCAGATGGTTAAGCGTCTGCCTTCGGCTCAGGTCATGATCTCAGGGTCCTGGGATTGAGTCCCGCATCGGGCTCCCTGCTCCTTGGGAGCCTGCTTCTCCCTCTGCCTCTCTCTCTCTGTCTCTAATGAATAAATAAATAAAATCTTTAAAAAAAAAAAAAACAACACTCTCCCTATAAAATCTCTTTCCCCATAATTCTATGATTCTGTAATCAAACTAGTCCTCCTTGACATTACAGAAATATATTCAGTGAATAGCTGATAATACTGGACAGTGATTTGAAAGGAACTTAGCAATGTTTTTAAAGGTCAGAAAAGATCTGATCATGGTTACTCCTTTCCACTACAGAATATGAGCCAATGTGTTTCTCTAAATGGAGAAACTTTTTTTTTATATATATATTTATTTATTCATTAGAGACAGAGAGAGAGAGAGAGAGGGAGAGGGAGAAGCAGGCTCCCAAGGAGCAGGGAGCCCGATGCGGGACTCAATCCCAGGACCCTGAGATCATGACCTGAGCCAAAGGCAGACACTTAACTATCTGAGCCACCCAGGCGCCCATAAGTGGAGAAACTTTTTAACAATATAGTAAATCCTCACTCAGGGGAAATCCCTCCCAAGGTATGAAGGAAGATCCAGGCCTACATGACAGATCATGGAAAACAAAATCCTGGGAACCAAAAATCTACTGTATGCCACATGGTTCAAGCTCAATTCCCCTGGAAATCATTCATCATCTGATGGATGACTCATGCCCTCCCCTGTAAAGCTGGCCAAGGAAATCCTCAGATGCAATCGAGTTGAAGGGCTATCTCTATCTGATGTGAGATTCCTTGGGTTCAATCCCAGCCCTCTGGGACCTTAGGACAATCTCTCTGTGCCTCAGTTTTGTCCCATGTGAAACAAGGGATAACAATAGAACTTATCTCATAGGATTGTTGTAAAGATGACATGAGTTACTACCTGTGAAGTATTTAGGACAGTGCCTAGCACATGGCATTTAATAAATGTTATCTATTACAACTGTTAGACATGGGACCAAGACGTGAGAGGCATATGGTTTTCTCAGATCTTGAACCTGAAGACAGTTCAAGGTAAAGCGTGACTGGGACTATATATTGCTCTGGGTCCAGGTGTTGGTTTCTTCAGACAAATGGAAGTAAGCTAGAATCTCCAGTGTAGGAATTTTATCTAATTTCCTGAATCACATTCTATCCACAGCCTCCAGTCAGATAAAACTCTAGGCCAAGGAAGAGGTCTGACCTTGTACTGTGACAATAAGCATCTGACAGAGAAAAACTTGCAACTTATTGATATAACATTGGGCGAGACTATCAGCTTGCCCAAAGAAAAGCAGACCAAAATTCTATCATGACAGCGCTGCCTTCTGCTTGAACCATGAACTTTACAGGATGGTGGCTCATAACCAGGCCCTGGGTACTCACATTCCCTCAGGTTGCCAGTGCGTGTCCTCTTCTATCCGTAACAGTTCTTCACAGTCCTCAGCCCTATCCTGTGGACAGAACACACGGGTCTTCTGAGAGCCACTGGCTATCAACAGTCCACAGTCAAACCCTGCCCTTAGGCCACGTTCACACTAGCATTACTCTCAACAGCCAAAAGGTGGGAACAATCCGAGTGTCCATCTACAGATGAATGGTTAAACAAAATGTGATCTTTACATACAACGGAATGTCACTGAACCTTCAACAGGAAGGAAGTTCTGACACATGCTACAACAGTGAACCTGCAGGGCATTCTGCTCAGTGAAGTCAGTCAGTCACAAGAAGCCAAATACCATAAGATTCCAGCTCTGTGAGCGACCTACAGGAGTCCCTCATAGAGACAGAAAGCAAAATGGTGGCTCCCAGGGGTGAGGGGAGGAGGGAATGGGAAATTAAATTTGAACGGGTACAGTGTTTCCATTTGACAAGATGAAAAGAGTCCTGGAGACAGACGGTGGTGATGCTGGCATAATGTGTGAATGTACTCACCACTGAACTGCACACTTAAATATGACAAAAATGGTAAGTTTTACATTACATGTATTTTACCACAATTAAAAATAAAATTAAATTTAAAAAAAGAACAATAAAAAAAATTAAAAAAAAAAAAAGACCTGACCCAGGACCACAGTACCTGTTAACTTAAGAGTCAGAAATGTAAAGTTCTATTTCTTATTGCCCTCTTAGCACCTCCTCATGTTCAGATTCCTCTGTTAGTTGGGCTCGTCGGTCACATGAGGAAGTGCGTTCTACTGTTCGTGAGAGGAGGCGGGTGTGTGTGTGTGTGTGTGTGTACACGTGTGTGCGTGTGTGTATCCTTGAGGAAAAAGAAAGTGTAAAATAATGAACACAGAAAACGCCTCCAGTTGCATCTAATAGTTTCACGCATACCGCACCCAGATCTCACTGAAATGTGCCCCCCCTACATACACCATTATTTTCCCAAATGAACGTTGTGACGGGCTTAGTTAGCACAGTGCATCCCACTGCTAAGACTTCCATGTGCTTCTTGTCCACTGTCAGCTCTGACACAGAGCCATGCTGCCTTAACTCAGCCTACAGCCAGAAAAGAAGCCACCCCTGAAGGGCAGTACATTCCTCAGGCAAGGAAGGAACAACAGACAGACCCAAGGACTGTCTCAGACCCAGCCCATTCTCCAGATACATCATTGAGAAAAGTCTTCTTCTGAGGAGGTGCCTAGCACTGGATGCCAGCCTCTGGCTTAAAAAACACTCAGACTGGGCTCCTGGGTGGCTCAGTTGGTTAAGCGACTGCCTTTGGCTCAGGTCATGATCCTGGAGTCCCGGAATCGAGTCCCGCATCGGGCTCCCTGCTCGGCGGGGAGTCTGCTTCTCCCTCTGACCCTCCTCCCTCTCATGCTCTCTGTCTCTCATTCTCTCTCTCTCAAATAAATAAATAGAATCTTTAAAAAAACAAAACAAACAAAAAAAAACACTCAGATTTTTATTAATTATAGATATAGTGCCTAGTAAAGTAAACACAAAATTATTGTGTCACTATCCAAATAAGAGTGAAATTCATGGGTGAAAATATACTACCAGAAATGAGCAAGAAAACATGTTCTAATCTCTCTTTGTTGGGTTTCAACTACAGGAGCCAAGGGTATTTCCTTCTAATTTTCAGTTTCATAATAAAAGAATAGCCAATAGTATAAAACACCACTTTTTTTCCAATTTGCAAAACAGGGCTGACCGATTCCTTTTGCTAAGTTACAGGGTTGTACAGTTCATCCTCATTATTTGTGGGTTCCATTTTTATGAATTTACCTACTCACTAAAATTCATTTGTGAATGAATCAATAAATCAATACTCGTGGGGATTCTCCAGAGCGGTGAAAACCCTGAGTCCACAATATGTGTGTGTTCCCAGCTGAGGCTGAACAAAGCAACACTCTGCCCTCTCATTCGGACCCAGCCCAGCAGCCATCAAAGCACCAACCTCAGGAAATAAGGACGAGCACCTGGAGCTCACACCGGCTCTACCACAGGAAGCCCGGGACCATCATTCTCATGAGCCTCAGTGAAAATGAATTTTATCCAATTATCTTTGTGATTCCTGGGGGCCACAATCTGAGCCAGAAGGACTGGCAGAAACACACCAATCATGTCTCAAAGTGGGGCCTTCACCACGAGCGTTAGCAAAGGGCTAGTTTTTCTCTATTCTTTTTTGCTGCTACTATGATGAAGGTTCAACCTGAAAACACCGTGACTTCATCCAACCTTTCAACACCTCAGTGCAAGGATAAGAGCTCAGGAATAAGTGTCCTCGGAATGACCTTCCAAGACAGGACATTCATTTCTAGATTTTAAGAGTCTCCACTTTTCTCTTTACACTATGGACATACTCTCAAGAAAAGCACTCACCTAGAATACATGGAAAAGAACGTGAAACGGTCTATTTTAACTTTTAGTGGATGGCGATAGCAATGCTGACATGTCTGCCAACTTGCACTGAGAGGTGGAAAGCTAAGTAATCACTGAATATAAAGGAAATCACACACATGTACAGCAGACACACAGAGAGGTATGACAGGGACCAGCTCCTACCTTCAGAAAATAGACACCCCAAGCTTTAAGAAGGTATAGAAACCGGAGGAAACTGGCAGTAAGCTGACATTTAGGTGATGGATTGGTAACCTTGAACTTAAATTCTAAGGCACCAAACAGAAGAAAATTTTTTAAAAATCAGCGGATCCTCAACTTGCCTTAATATAGGTTATAAATTCTGAACGGAGAACATCTGTTCCATCAGTAAATTGGTCTCTTTCTTCTCCTGAGTTGTCATTGTCACCCAAAAGGGAAGGCTCTGGTTGAAATTCCTGATGAGAGTCCCCTATTAGGAACATGTAGAGAAAGACAAAAAGATGGTTTCATGAAGAGATGAGCAAAGCACAGACGGCCCTCAAATACCATTGGACTATTTTCAGTCACTGCTCCTGCCTCTTCTGGAGGTCTATGAATGACCCAACTTTTCTCTTCCCTGAAAAGTGGGATGAAAAGATGAATAAAGGAGGAAAAACAGAAAAAGAAATAGAAAGCCCCCCACCGCCATGGTGAACTGGAAAGTTAAGGCCTCTTTATGGCTTCATCCCTTAACAAAGAAATGAAATCTCCTATAACTTTTTTAAGAAACAGAGGAAAGCACGTTTGAAAGAGGCAAAAGGAACACCAAGCAGATCTCTTCTCCATGATCTGCAAACTGAAAAGAACCAAGGAGGGCCACCTTTAAGGACTCCTACCCAGCAGAATACTCACTTCTAGAACAGAGAGGAAAAAACTCACTGGTGACAAATTATGTAATTCTTTTATTTTAAAAATTTGCCTAAGACACTACCTCCTGTACTGTATAATGTCACACAGCTTATCTAAGCTAATAAAATGGCAGTTTTATTTTTGCATAGAGTATACAGTGATTTTTTTTTGGACAATGTATGGTTCCAGTCATAACCTCACATACATGTAAATGCTAAATTTAAAAACCTGAAGGTAAAAAGTGAAAGCAAACACTAGACATTGAGTTGGTTCACACAGCTCTCCCATCACTAATGAGAGCATTTTTAAACTATTAGGGAGATAATCTGTATATTAACCTAGTTCTATACTGTTCATATATCATGAAATCATCTCTGCCACAAATCATTAAACACAAATCATTCACACTAAATGAAATCATCTCTGCCACAAATCATTAAATTTTAGTATTTTCTTTAAAAATCATTGAATAAACAGGAGCAGTAAAAAAAAAAAAAAATACTGCCCTAATGTAATCAAATGAGGGCTTCTCACTAAGACATGAAATATATTGCTAGGATTTTCAAGGTATATAGGACATAAAGTACTTAGTGATCACTTGGTGATTGTTAGAGAACCACAGAATTTGAGAGCTACTGAAGACCTTACATATTACCTAATCTAATCACCTCACTTAAAGGTGAGAAAATTAAGGTCAACCGTCTTGTCCAAAGTCAAGTGGATTCCTGGGCACACATCTCAACTACATTTCCCATCTTCACACGTGACCATGTATCCAAGCCTACCTTATAAGTGATGGGCACTCCTAGGCTCAGTTCACTAAAAACCTCCTGTGAGCAAGCCTCCATGCTTGGCCAGCTTCTGCCGTAAAAGAGGACTTGGGAACTTTGGAAATCTTGTGTTAAAGATGGTGGAGTCACAGCATGAAAGCAGCTTAGGCCTTTGAATCATTGCTTGGAGGGGAGCTGCCTGTCAATCATGAACTCCCATGCAGACTTGATTTGGACTATGTTAAGCCAATGAGATCCGGGATTTTATGTGCTCCAACAACTGGTGTTGCCTAATATATCTATACATCAATATTTGCTTTCCAAGAATGGATTTAAAGGCTGGTATATAAATCTTCAAAATGAGAACCACTCTACTACTTACTAGCTGTGTGATCACTGGCAAGTTACTTAAACTCTTTGAGCCTTGGTTTACTCACCTGTAAAATGGAGATGATTAGAATATCCATCTCAGAGTTCTGAACTTTAAATGAGATCACCTTCACAGATTAGCACAGAGCCTGGTGCACAGGAAATGCTCAATAAACTTTAGCTATTACCAAGGCCCTATTTGTGTCGATTGTAAACACAATATTTGAAACTTAAAACAAGCACGTTCTCCCCATCTTTCATTCTCACACCTTTAACTGGGCTAAGGCGATGGCAGGAGTCCTCCTTGACGATCTGTTCTTCTTCCATGATGTTCGACATCGGCACATTGAGGCTAACAGCGTCTTCATCAGAAGGCTGAAAAGAAACAGTGCAATGCTTCATTCGCGGGACAAGCATTATCGATGTAGATTAAGAGAAAGCTACGTGATAAAAAAAATACTGCTAATTCTCAAAAACATAATATTGAGTAAAAGGAACGAGATACAAAGAACAATTCCACTTACATAAGTTCAAAAACCGGCAAAACTAATCTGTGGTATTTGGCGTCAGGACAGTGACTACTCTTGGCTTGGAGGCTGGATGTGTGAGTGGGCTTTCTGGGGTGCTCGTAAAGCTCTGTTTCTTGTACTGGCCATTGGCAATGTGGGTGTGTTCCACTTTGTCAAAATTCGCTGAGCTAACACTCAAGTGTTTCTCTGTACATATGTTTTGAGCTGAAATTTTGTCAGGTACCTGATGGCATTTCCAACCTAAGAGCAATAGTCAAAGCACTAAGAAGGACTATGTTATACCTGACGGAACAAAGGAGTAACTAAATATACAATCACACTAGCCCTAAGACTGACTGATCAATCCTTGTCACAGTAACGGTACTCTGAGACCTGACGACAACACCAATTTCCCAAAACTACATTAAGGTTTCATGGGGCTAGTCACCAAAAACGGGCAATATCTGTGACAATATCTCATTTATTCACAGTGCATCTTATGTGCAACATGAAGCTCCAGTTTATTTCCCTGTGTGAGACTGAGGAATATATAGGCATTTCGGCTGCATCAAATACATAAAAGTGCTGAATGACCGTAGTGCTTAAAAGGACATGTGTTCTGTGCAATTTTCAGAATAAGGCTTCGATTTGGTAATCAAAGTCAGTTGTCTCTGGGGGGCTTGTTTCCCACACTAGCTAATGAAGTTTATTCAGATAATCTACGATTCTGTGACTGATGAAATATGGAGCCTCATTGACTTTCCTATGTCTCCATTTTCGTGTGGCTATTTAGTGAAGAGCTTTCCAAATCACAGGGATCATGAACCTCCACAGAACACATCTCAGGGACTCGTGGGCTGCTCCTAAATTCCTGAAGCCGTGACTTTCAGAGTTCAGTGTTCATTTACCTTTGGACACGTGCACAAATTGTTTAGAAACTGACACAAAACAAGTGTGCATTTCATCCATTCAACAGATACTCATTCGGATTCGGCCGCCAATTTTTTTTTGCATGTTTATCTTGACAAAAATATGTTTTAAACTTCTTAGAGACAAATGCTAAATCAATCAGACAAGGGCAACAGCCAAAGAAAGGGAATGAGATGTGCTTTCTGAATGCCACAATGAAACAGAAGTGGGGAGCAAGAGAAACTGACCATAGATGGTAACATATTTGCCAGACAAAGTGAAAATAGAAAGCTACACTGGATAACTCAAGGCCCTTTTCCTTCTAAAACACAAATTGCTTGGAGGTGTTCTCAGGTAACGAGGCTACAATGTGAGACAAAAAAAAGGCCAAAGGGAAGAAGCATGCACTGATTCTGTCGAATATAACCCTTTTTCTAGTCCTTCCTGCCACCTTCCTCCCATCTTAAAAACTTAGCAAAATTCCAAAGATATGCATCTAGTTAAAAGGGAGGAAATAAACCCTTGGCCTCCTTTTGGAATGGTATTAGCATGCTACTTGTATTAAGTGAGAACAAAAGGATAATGAAGTTCTTTGTGTGATGTTTTATTAATGAACTTAATTATCCTTAAAAAACAGATAAAGGATAAAGCAGAGTCTGTTTTAATTTCATAGAAAATAAGCTTAGGGTGAGTAATTTCTGAAATAATGGGACATTTCAGGGGACTTAGGAGTTTTAATAAAGCTAAGGGGGCTGAATTAAATACAACTTATAAAGCAATGTGTTGAGTATTTTCTCCCCCAGGGAGCTACAGTAAACTATTCATGTGGCTTCATGAGAGTAATTTTCTTTTATTGAAATTGGCCTTCTCTTTCTGCCTACAAACTCCTTTTGAAATGTTCTGTATTAGAAAGATTTTAAGGTATCCTAACTTTTTAATACATTGCTTTATAAAGCATTTCGTAGGAAATAAATGCAAATATCTTAGCTACATATTAACCCTCAAAGACCTGAAGAGAACAGGGAAAAGGTATCTTTCTTGGAGTCACAAACAGTACAAATGTGAACTCCTTAAATGGGGTAATTGACTTATTAATTACATCTTCAAAGAGTAGTATAATGTTTCAAAACTCAATACCTACAAAAACTCAATAAATTTCCTCAGAAGAGAAGACCTGATGATTCATCTATCCCCTACCCCAGCTATCCCTTCCAGCTCCCCTGCTCAAGAAACCCCATTTAATGGTATATTAGTGAAAGGTTTTGGGGACTGTAACTATAAGTGACATAAATATGCTAAATGAGCTATTTATAACCACTTCAGGAAGCTCTAGTGTGGGAGGCCTCTTAGCTTACAAATAACCCAAATTTATCCAGTTGTCTGAAAAGAACACAATCGAAGAGTTTCAGGAAAACAAATACTGCTATAAAAATTATGGCTATTTAAAATGGCATTTCCTGTGGGTAAACTGCTAAAATGCAATGCACATTTGCGTCCTGAACATTTATGCATGCGAATAACTTTTTTCCTAAATTATTCTGTCACTTAGAAACAAACACATTTATAGAAATGCCTCATGGGCACCTGCATACCACTCTTCGTCATTTCATATTTATGAAACATTCAAGAATATTCTAGGTAATGTGAGGAGTGTGGTGGAAGGGGAAGGGGAATAGGGATGTTTACAAAATATTAAATATGCAGCAAAAGCTAAAAACTTGGAGGATTTCAAATTGCTTTCACGAACATAATCACACATTCTCACACAGATGCATTAATGCCCTTTACCACAGAGGAGTTCAGGAATGCAGGCAGATATATCTAGCACAGAAAGAAAAAAAAACTAATCACAAACTTTACCTCTGTGGCAGATAAACGTTTATCTCCATTATCACTTCCGACACCCGAATCAGAATCCTTCTTGCTGGGATAGATGCCAACAGTACGGAATCCATTTAGAAAAAATTGAAATCACAAAGTTCACAACAAGATACATCAATTTCGAATAATGACTTTTGCTATACAAATTTTATTATTACCATAAGGCAACAAATCAGCAGCCCAAAATTAAAGGAGGTGGAGACAAGGGCCTAATAATCAGATATTCTTTCTAAACAGAGGACAAGATAAATTCTTTGTGTTCAGGGTTACTCTAACCAAGTAGCCTGTTCTTTGAAACAGTTAACAATTTTCTTATCTTATGGATTCTAGTGTCTAAAAAACCAAAAACTGCCTAATTGCTTTTACCTTTTCTAAGAGGCTTTTACTCTTATGTGGTTACTCTCAGTAATTCTGTAAGCTTTTATCCAGTGACTAAACAAATTTGATGTTTATAAAAATAAAATAATGAATACATATTTTAAGTATTATATAAAAGGTACCATTAGAGTAGGCTGAGATTTTAAGTCACCATGTTTTTTAGTAAAAAGTGAAGCAAAGGTCTCTGCAGTGAAGACCCCTCAAAACAATCTGTGTTCAGTGTGGGAATTTTGTTCTTTGAAAATTCAAGGCCCAATTTATGCCACAGAAAGGCCAAGGGCATGTGAAAGGATTCTAACACTTCCAAAAAGGAAATGGCACAAACTATGCAGGCTGCATTTTTAAGACAATTACAAAACAAAACCTGCAGTTTTTCTTAACAGTGTTCTGGAGGCAGATTAAAAATTAATAATTAAAAAGACATGCCTGAGATTGATACGGTTGTTTTAATTTAATTAAATTTAATTAATTTTAATTTAATTGACTTATTTCTGATAAGTAAAAAATACCTATATTTATATTATAGATTGCATTTATAAGGATATATATATATGCATATAACATACATGTATGTACGTATACATATCCACATGCACACACAGCACACACAGTACCCAGGAAAGACTGATTATTGACTAGAATAGGGAAGATAAGATTTGCAAGATGCCAAAAGGTTATCAACAGCACCTATTTTCTCTCTCTTATTCCAAAATGCTGAAACACTTGAGGTATAAATCTGCATTGGTTAAGTGAGGCAAAGGGATTTTTGGAGTTACCTACCTGGAGGCCCCAGCCTCAGCAAATTCTAAACCGGGGCTTTGAGTGACTTCAGTCACACTCACCTATCTTCCACGTGCTGGTGGAAATGTGGCCTCTCCATCGTGTGGAGATCAAGGGAGTCAGCTGTCTTAATCTGACATGCTTGTATGCTCAGATACTTGAATATGTGCACTTTGCCCTTTGTGCAAATCTATGGAGAAATTAATAATACATATTTGGTTTTCAATGACAAAACAAAATGTAAACACTCGACATGGAGGCTCTGTATATTTAATTTTTGCATTTTCATTTTAAGTAACACTTCAAAAATACACGCCAAATTTGACCTCTCCAAAACACATGAGAATTTAGGCAATCATTTCTTCCAAATTCTACTTTGAATAGAAAACCATCCTAACAGAAATGTGTCGAAGTCTAAATAGTGTAAAAAAGTAGAGAAGTCAGATACCTGACATGGTAACTTTCCAATTCTAGAAGGATTGATTTTGTTCCCACACAGTTTAACAGCTGAACTTGTAACTTATCTCTAAATAACCAACAATCATATGTGAAAATGTTTAAACTCCATTTCTCAGCTCACATGAAAGTATGGAATATAGTACTCTTTGATAAGCCGTACACTCCATGAAGGCGTTTCCAATGTGTGTACAAATGCTAACCTAATCAAACATATAATCCTAGGATTAGAGTGATCAAGACAGTGAGTGGAACGCTGGTGAACGGACTGGACTTTGGCAGAAGACAACTGATGGTAGTCGGATTCACCCAAGGTTTCATCTTTCGGAGATTGTGATCATGTCTAAAACAATATTAATTCAGCAGAATATCAAAGGCCCAGCTCTGCTGAGAGTTTCCCATGCAGGATTGATAGCACATCCCATGGTGAAAGAGCTTCGCTGCCATCCCTCACCTGTGCCGGAGGAGACTGCAAAGGGTTGTTCTCAAGTAGTAATACTTGCAGCTGTTTCATCTGTCTAAAACAAATGGGAATCACGAGCACTTTATTGCAGGAAAAGTCAAACTTTACCAAGGGAAGATCTACTAGTTCTAAAGAACAGGGGGGAAAAAAAAAAAAGAAAAAGAACAAATTCAGAAAGCAATAAGATTAAATGGCTAAACATTCAAACACTAATTCTCTGCTTACCAGGAAAAATATCAGTTAGCATAATCAAAGCAAGGTATGCATCAGGAATATGTGGTATGCGTATAAAATATTTTACTAAAGGGGAGGGGGAAATCTTTCATGGAGAGCGCAATAATTTTAAATTGTTGTTAGTTCTGGTAAGAGCTAGGAACACACTTGACATTTACAGTATCTGTTGTTTAGAAAAGCCTTTCTTCCAGCAAAACGATCACATAAGCCATACCACACAGGGTTAGGTTTCATAGGACATGTTTATGTTTTAACTTCAATAGTGAGCTTATGAACAATGTGCTAATCATAAAATATTCTTATCTAGTCAACGTATCTGGGCTGGCATAATCTCAGAACTAGTTACAAGAAATATGTTCATGGTTTTTTAATTCCACTTTTTAAAAACTAAATGCTATCTAATTCAGAATTTTGCAGTGGACCCTGTAATCCTGATTTGATGAGGCTCAATTCTACTGCTTTTAAAAAAGTCTTCTGTAGCTCCACAAGCAAGACAGAACATTATATTTAGCTTAAAATCCCCACCCAGTGGCATAGTAAACGCTCAGTAATTTCAAGCACTCCAACTGACACTGGCAGTTACAAGGAACGAAGTCAAATATATTCCATAGAGCAAAGAGGCTGAGGGACACCAGACATGTAGAGGGACACGGGGCAAACCGGCAAACTGCTAAGATCTCTGCGTGAGACACTCTGGCGGGTTCATGTCAGAAGGGGCCTCATCATCTTTATTACAGGACTTGGTAAGGGGTGAAATACAGTGCTTTCAAAGACGCAAGAAGTTCCAAAGTGGAGGATAGGCAGGCACCATATAAAGTGACCTGCAGTGAGAATTAACCCAATTCCTTCTCTCCCCCTAGTATGCCCTAGGGTTTTCACCTGACTCAGCTATGCTACTTCAAGTTCCACAAATAAAGATGCTCTTAGCAACCAGTATCTCTTCTCCTATTCACCTGGCTCTGGGCCTCTGGGTGTGTAAGGGACTTTCCTTCTTTCATGCTTTAGTGAATTACATTGTATTTAAAAAATAGAGTCAGGTTGACTCAAGTGCTAGAAGAAAGGCAGAAGAGCATCCAACTCCGCAGGTCCCAAGCTCAGCTCTCTGTGTCAATTGCCGAGTAATTCACTGCCCAAACCCAGTCCCCACCCCCTACCCCCAACAGCGGGGTGAATGATTTGCCTCACACCCTACTCATCCTGGAGGTTGCCTTGATGATGCCTTGCTGTGAGCAGCAGAAGGTGAAGGAGAGAGGGAGGAAGAGAACCTGGAGGACAGCAAAACAAGAAAATCAAAGGAAAAGGGAAAGTAAGATCCCTTTCACTTCGTAGTTTATTTCTAAAACAGGGCTAAGGCTTAGAGGGATTTATATACGAGACGAATATCTCCTTGCTGTAACCCTTAGTGATATTAATCCATCTCTGAGACTGTTAATTTTACTCACTAAACTTAGGTTGGCAAATTAGTGGCAAAATCTAACTGGAGTCTGGATCTTCAGCAAGTCTTTGCCGCTGAAAGTGAAGACTTTTAAGCAAGACTGAGGGCCAAGTTCCTGGCAGCCGTAGCAGGAAGGGGAGAAGAGGCAACTTAAATAAATAAGGTAAATAAAGTAAGAATGGTTTTTATAATGACTGTTCCTGTTAATTGCAGTTTGGAACACAACTACCATCTTAGTTTAGGAAAATGAGAGCCTGGCAGTTTCCTAACAAGAAAATGGGGGTGGGGGTGAGGGGTGATGATAACTCCAGCCCAGAAATGGTCAAAAGAAACCGGGCAGGAAAAGGGAGGAAGAAAAAAAAAATCCCAAGGAATCTTCTGTTGCAAAGAAGGTCAATGACTGGCTCCTTTAATCTTAACTCTGTCCATTCTGGTCCTAGAAAAAACAAAATATGGTCTCCTCATTGCAGTATTTGTAGTAAAAGCACCACAAAATTGATATGGGTAATTAGGCCACAGACTTGTTTTCCCTCCTCAGATTGAAAGCATACGGGGAGGGGTACTCAGAGAGGAAAAACAAGTCAATATGGAAAATCTTTAAATTCACTGCCTGAAAGCACTATCAATGCTCTTTTGTTAATAGAGTTCTCCAGAGTGAAGCAAAAAAGAAACTTGATATTCAGGAAGTTAAAAAAAAAAAAAAAAGGAAAAAAAAGATTTTTCCAGTAAACTGAAGTTTTAGCTTTGAATATATTTTAAAATATTAAACCTGAGAAAACACAATTATGAAAAGGATAGAAATGTATAACTGATCTTTTCAAGGGAAAGGAATGCTCTGAAGGTAAGAGCATAGAGAGTGCTGAGAGAAAGAAAAACCTTGGTTTGCAGACACACTGTTTACACGTTTCTAGACTATTACAGGCAACCGTGAAATGACTCTCTTACATTTTTCTTTTGAAAATGAGAGTCTGATGTTCTGTAATGATTTTTCAATGATTAGCATGAGAGCTACATTTAGAGGCCAGTGTTCTTTAATGCCACAAAAGGTTAAATGCTTAGAAATGTGCTGTTGGTAAGAGTGTTTCCCCTTTGCACTTGCTCCAACCAAGAAAAACAATTTCATCCATTCAAAATGGATTAGACAATGACAGAATGAAAAAAATCAATGTTTTCATACCAAGTTATCTCAAGCAATAAAGTAGTACATCCTTGCGCTGAGACAGTTTGTAATTCTACTTCTTTAAAATGCTGGTCAGTGCAAGAAAGGTGACAGATGGCAGGTAGGCATTCAAACCTCCCGTCTATAAAGCACATTGCATTTTATAAAGTTCTTTCCCTTCCATGAGCTTCATCTGCCTGCCTTCAAACCAAAGATCAAGATGCAGGAACAGAATAATAAAAATCAGGCAGTTCTCAACTAGCTGCAGTTGTGTCAGATTAACCAAATGCTTTTGTTTTTGTTTCCAAATATATGCTTTTGCTTTGAGGTATATTTTTAATTATATATTTGAAACCTGGTATGCCTCATGGCCTTAAATGAAACCGATGGAAATCAATGCGATCTTTGAAAACCAGAGTACGTTTTGGGGGAAGCATTCAGTATTCTGCTCATCAACTCATTCTGATTCAAGTCCAAATAACAATCCCAAAATAGGAAATTCAGATCCACCATTATCTACAAAGCTGCTTATCAAAGTTCTTAATGGTGCACACTTTCTGAAGAAATGTATCTTTTTATTTGAACTCAAGAGTCGATGTCTCAGAGGGACATACTGTAGAAGCCCACAGGTGCAGGGAAGGGTCTGCCTGAGTCTGGCTCCTGAGCAGGGATGTCTGAGAGGGCAACCAGTCTCAGCGCTGAGGTTCTGGAGGATCCTTGCTTCTGGCCTTTGGGAGACTCACCAAAACTACCAGTGACATTAGTCCAAGTACCACCTCAGCAGGGGTAGAATCCTCACCTGAAGCATGTATTATAGACACGAGGGGTGGTTCCCAACTAGGGTGACCAGATGCTCAAAGCCAGAAATCTTAACAGCTGATCTATAACACCAAGCACATCGCCTAAAGTGTTGGCTCGACATTCCAAAACATCACACATACATACCAAAAACAACTCATGTTGCCTCCTGTTATGAGCTGAATCGTGTGTCCCCAAATTTCCTATGTTTGAGTCCTAACTCCCAGTACCTCAGAATGTGACTGTATCTGGAGATAAGGCCTTTAAAGGGGTCATTAAGTTAACATGAGGTCATTTGAGTGGGCCGTAGCCCAATATGACTGGTGTCCTTATAAGAAGAGATTAGGACAGAGACACAGAAGGAGGATGATGTGAGGACACAGGGAGAAGAGAGCCATCTGTAAGCCGAGGACCAAAGCCTCAGAAGACACCTTGATCTTAGACTTCCTGCCTCCAGAATTGTGAGAAAATAAATTTCTGTGGTTTAAGTCACTCAATCTGTAATACTCTGTTACGTGAGCCTGAGCAAACTAACATACACACAGCCTCATATGGGGGGATGGCTGCATTGCTGTACTCCTCGAGACAAATTAAAAGCTGAATATTAACTTTTCTGGTATCTGCATGTGAAATTCATATAATTCATATTCATATAATTAATAATTAATATCATTAGGCATACCCAAACATGACTAGACAAACTACCTTCTTCACATAAGTAAACAAACAAACAAAAAGAATAAACATCTCCTGCTTTATTCTTTTTTACCTTGTGGTAAAACTTTAAGGTAATTTCTTCTGACATTCAGTTCCCGTAGAGATTTCAACTGACCTATCTGCTGCGGCAAGGCCGTGATCTCGTTGCAGCTGACATCCTGCATCAAAGGCAAAGGCAGAAATGATAAACACCCTTTTCCAGGAAATCAAGCATTTCATGTGAAACCTTCTTAAGGAATTTAAATATGAGGACAACTACTCAAGTACATTTTTATCTTGGTCTGTACATCCCTGGCCAAGTAAGGCTTAGCACAGAGAAGAAAAAGAAAGTGCACCATTTTGAACATCCTTTGAGGAGGAAAAAAAAGAAGAAAGGAAGGATGTCTGGAGCATTCGGGGGCTACTTTGAGGGCCTCGCGCCTGCTGCGTTCATGTGCTTCAATCTCATAATTCTCGAACCCATGAGACAGTATTCACAGCTTAATATTTACAGTCAGAAAAACGAGGCTCAGGGAGGTTACGTCAGGCATCCAAGGCAGTTAACACTTGGAACGAACGCCCACCCACAGTGCCTTGAAATAGAAGGTTACATATCCTACTTACCAAACACATTTTACAGTGAGAACCTATGACTATTAATGCATCTTTTGGGATGCACTATTTATGTAAGATGGAGTTCTTACTGGAAGGCTGCGAATATTGTGGGCCTAAACACCTTTAAGTACATTTTATAAGCAAGACTGTGGGGCATGTGGATGATGTCTTTTTTTGCACTGAAACACTGATATCCCATTAACCGTTGATTGGAACCACCTTTTGACACATGCAAAATGAAAGCTATGACATTTACAATGTTATTATACTCTCCCCCATCCCACTCTTCCTCCTTCTCTGGAAGCTCTGCTCTGCTCTCACCCCCCACCCCAGCTACTCTCTAGTCCAGAGCAGCATTCTCTCTCATGAGACACTATAATGGTCTCCTTGATTGGTTCCTTACATGGGTCTGCTTCCCAGATCCATCATTCACAGAGCTGTCAGAGTGTGCATTTCACCATGTCAGTTACCAGCTTAGATATTTGCAACAGCTCCTGGGAAACCCATGGGGTAAAGTTTCCAACTCTGGGGCAGGGCCCAGAAGCCACACACAGTTCAGGTCTGCTTCTCTAGCACCATCTCTCTGAAAGCCCTCCCTTGCATCCTCAAGCCATGTCATTACCGACTGCTGTCACCAGCGTGTGCCAAGGTGTTTCATGGTCCCAAACCTGTTCAGGCTCCTCCCTGTCTGGTATGCCATTCCCCAATATTGTCCTCTTGTCCCACCTACCTCTTTCAAGATTTAATTCAAGGCTCGCTCCTCTCTGAAACTTTGTGGAGGTTTCTCCCATTTATCGCCCTCTGAACTAACACCCAGGGAGAATGACCACTTTTCCCTCTGTGGCCCTATGCATAAACTATTACAGTATTCATATGCTCACACATTTGCCTTCTCTTATGAGCCTGTGAGCTCCCAGATGGAAGATACCGGGTCTTATCCACTCCATCTTCCTGGTGCCGAGCAGAATGCCAGGTATGAAGTAAGAGATCAATAAATATTGGATGAAATTTCTGAAGTCCATTCATGTTGACACTCTCATTCTGCCTCACAGCTGGAACCCCAGGATGCTCCAACATACACACCAATCCCTGGCAGGTCTTGCTTGAAATGGCAGAATCACAGATATACTTGGGCTAGGTTTGATCCCAATGAGATTGAGTCTTTAAATTCCCCACATCACTTGTGAACCTGCAAAAATTCCCCCTTTCACAAGGCAGCAGAGCAGTTTCACATTCACTCAGATGAGAACTCACCGTTGACCCATCCCCAGCAACCCCAGGGCTCATGTAAGAGCAGGACTATGCAGAATGCAGGGGATCACTGCCCTCTAATCTCTTCTCATCTAAAAATCCTCAGGTGACCCACCAATCTGGCAAGGTTACAAGGCTGCTAAATAGTATCACTTGCCAAAGAGGAATAAAATCACTCCTGCTAAAGGGAATGGAGCAGCCCTCTGTAGAGGCTGTAGATTGCACACAGTGCAATCAGCCGTGGTACCGCTCGGTGCTCTGCATCGGACTGAGGTGAGGTGGCGTGTGACAGGCTCACAACACTAGGTGTTCAAGGGCATCACCCCCAGGCTGGCTGTTGATGCATCACTCCTGGCCCAGAAAAGCCACATAAAATTCCATGAAAAACATCCCTAGTGTTTCAAAACAAAAACAAAAACCCACAAGTATATCTTCAGAGAAATAAAAGTCGGAGGAAGTAATTATAGAATTAAAAGGTCCAGAGATTTGTTCAGTCACTTTGAGCCCCTCACTGAGTCAGTAAACAATTCTGCCTCTCAGCATATACTTCCATATATGAGAAATAAAAAGGGAAATGCTACCTTTTCCCAATTACTATGGCATCTGATCAGTCACAGATATCAACAACCAAATCCTTTCAATGAAATCTTTGTCTTCCTTCGCCTCAACCAAGTCACAAATAAGCAAGAGGTACCATTCCATTCTCTTTTAGAAGAGCCCTCACATAAAGTGTATGCATGAAAGCCCCAGAAATATATGAGATTAAACCATTCTATTGGGCTCACAGACAGGCACAGTCACGCTGGTGATGGTTGGCGGGAGGGAAGGGGGCATGGGGGAAGAAATAGTGGGAATTTTCCGTCTCTAGAGAGAAGTTATGTTACTGACATCTATAGTAAGTTTTTACAAGTCTGTGAGCGACCGCACGAGAAAAGACCCTTTTTGCAGTTTATGGGAATCAAATTTTTGATAGGAAACTGACAATTTTCAGAAGTTTCAAGGACAGAATTCTTTTAAAAATCATTCTTTTCTTTTATGATTTATTTTGAGAGAGGGGAGGGGCAGAGGGAAAGAGAGTCCCAAGCAGACCCCTGTTGAGCATGGAGCCTGATACGGGGCTCGATCCCAAGACCCAGAGACCACGACCCGAGCCTAAACCAAGAGTCGGATACTCAACCAACTGACCCACGCAGGCGCCCTCCAAAAATCACTCTTTAAAAAAAAAAAAAGAGGGGAGAGAGGGAAAGAGAGATAACATATATTTAGGCAGCTTATTCACAGCATAAAGTCTCATTCAGTCTTATCCTATTTCTTTGAGGGAACTATATTCACCTTGCATTCTGTTGATTACCCTCTGGTTAGCCGGAAAGAGTATGCCTGGTTCCCTAAATAGAAGGAATTTATTTTTTCCTAACATATATTTCTAACATAATGGCTTTATCAAGGAAAATCAACTCCCTTCAGCTATATTTATTTATTATTTTTTTTTAAAGATTTTATTTATTTATTTGACAGAGAGAGACACAGCGACAGAGGGAACACAAGCAGAGGGAGTGGGGGAGGGAGAAGCAGGCCTCCTGCGGAGCAGGGAGCCCGATGCGGGGCTCGATCCCAGGACCCCGGGATCATGACCTGAGCCGAAGGCAGACGCTTAGCGACTGAGCCACCCAGGCGCCCCCCCTTCAGCTATATTTAAATGCTTATTTACCAGTAAAGAAAGCGGTTACCCAATTGACACTTAAAAAAACAAAACAAAACATAATGATAAAGAGTTTTTCCTTCTGACCTACACGACAGGACATCTGTAGACAATTAGAAACACAAAGTCCAATTGTCCATTCACATTTTGAAGGGTGTATAGTGAAGGCCAAATTATTTTAATAGTACTCTGTTGTCCGTTATTTCCTGTCCTGCCAAAATAATGAGGGGAAAATGCCCAGGCAGATTTAGCATGAAATCGAGGTAAAGACTTTTTTCATTATTGTATAATCAATACTGTAGAAACTATGCAAAACTCGATTGTCTCCCAGTTACTGAACCTTGCTAAATTTTAAAGAGCCATGAATTTCATCACAAAAATAAACCCCCCCATGTCTTAATTAGCTGGGGAATGAGGAGGAGGAAAGAGAGGATAATAGTCTAAATGCTTTGGGTAAGATGTTTCAGTTTAGAACATGAAAAAGCAATATTCCTAGAATGGTCCAGTTCTCTAGCACATGTCTGTCCACGTTTAGCCTAAGGTATGGTTTTTTAAAATTCTGAGTTCATTTTAAAAAGATAACGGTTAGGAAAATAAATTTAATAGATAAATAACACCAATGCCTCATACTTCTGCATTTAGTGAGAATTTCCCAAGCTATGAATTCCAGATTCAGTGGCTTCTTTGAATAGTCAAATGAATCCCTTCTGAATTGTCTATTAGCCCCTAAGCTATATCTTAGAAAATAATGATTGCAAGCTTCAGTGAATCAAATTACCATATATTTACTGTTATAATATTGCAAATGTACAGGCAGGCCAAAAAGAAATAATCACAAACATGTCATAAATATTTACTAATTCTTTTTTATACAGAAATGAACCTAATTATTAAATATTAACATAAATACTCAAACTTAAGTTTTTATGGACCAGCCAGTCTAATTTAGTTAGTGAGATAAAAAACAAAATAGAAAATTTTAACTATGACTTAAAACATACTTTTTTCTCACTGGTTTAATCAACATGTTTTTAAGTAATCAAAGGAGAAACTTTAGAGTCATTTCATGCCAGTCCTTCCAGGCAATAAAGGAAGTCTCTAGAAGTGTTTAATGCACATTGGAGACTAATAGATTTTTGTTATTAAGTGTTAGTTGTTAATTTACCTTCAGGATGCAGAAATGACAAGGATTTAAAACATCAGATTAATTCAGGGATTATTAAGCTAGATAATGTTCACTTTCAGAAAATAATATTTAAAAAAACAAAAACAAAGTGTTTTTTAAGGAGTAACCTCTAATGAAAACCAACATGTCTACTGCATATTGGGTCAAGATGATCTTGGTTAGGGAAGATGTCCAGTGAGACCAGGCCACCCTGTGAAAATGCACACGGTATTTTCATGAGCTACCTTGCTCTGACTCTCCGGTTTTCAAAAACCTAATGTGCTTATACAATTGCTGAAGTCGTATTTTCATAATAAATGTAGCTCTTTATTTAATTGGAGGAAATGCGAACATTCTGACAGGAAATTCAAGATATTAATTCCCATCATGGGATCACGCTCTTTTTTTGGGAAATGTCTGTTGTATGATTCACTGTGTAACTTTAAGTA